CGAGGTTTCCTTAGCACAAAAAACTGAGTACGGGTTCATCCGCTTGAACCCATGATTTAAAAAGTGAATACATTTACCTTTCACCCAATCGAAAACTAGACATAGCTTTGGCTTTTCTATTTACTGACCTCACTCCCACAAGTGACACAGTTCTAATTGAATAATCTCGAACCCCAAACAACACTCTAATCAAATATGACACCAATCTCCTCAGTGCTGATTGCGTTAGCTGTGCATAGCCTTCCGTTCTGAGTCGGGAAGTTCCTTTTCTATTTTTATTTTAAATAGAACATTTCCGCTTGGTTAAATTTAACATTATCGAACTGGCCAATCATTGACAAGATAGCTTGAACAGAATCTAAACTCTGCAGATCTTCTAGCGAAAGTGGAATTGTTTTTTACGTTTTGTTATTTTAAGTCTATATTTCAATGTATCATTAAAAAAATAATTTGATCGAGTGACGTTATATTTTTTGTTGAAATATGAGTAAGCCTATGTCAATAAATAGCGTAGATGTCGAGGAATTCGAACTCAAAGAAATAATTAATAGATCAACATTAATAGGGGCATATTCCTAATAAGAAATATTGATATACATTTTTAAAAAATCAAGCAATATTAGCAGTGGCGTAGCCAGCATCATCTCACACACACACACACACACACACACGCGCGCGCACGCACGCACGCACGCACGCACACACACACGCACACTCACACACACACACACACACACACACATATATATATATATATATATATATATATATATATATATATATATATATATATATATATATATATATATATATATACATACTAGCTGTATGTCATTTCTTCGCTATGACGTAAAATAAAGTGAAAGTAGTGCTCTGAAGAAGTAAGAACAAACGCACAATGTAGGCCGATAAAACAAAACAATTTATCACTCGAAACCAAACAAAACGAACAAAATATACACACAGTACAACCAAAAACAATGAACGCTTTCTACCGCTAGACTATTCCGTCCACAGTAATAGCGGTAATGTAACGATACATATTTTTCTCATACACGGCTGTTTCACAGTCTCATACACGGCTGTTTCAGTCTCAAACACGACAGTTTCATAGTCTCAAACACGACTGTTTCATAGTCTCACACACGACTGTTTCATAGTCTCACACACGACTGTTTCATAGTCTCAAACACGGCTGTTTTGTGATCTGTTCCACAAACCGTCTACATGTCTAGATATCAAATATCAAGTATTTAGGCCTAAAACGTGATCTCTGTCTAGCGCAACAAATGATGCCTTCATTTTTATCCTCCCCCCCACCTCCTCCCCCCCCCCCCCCACACACACATACATAGTACAGCTTAAGAAAAGTACCCCATAAAATAGGAGCAACGTTTTGTCAACAACTTGATAGATTGTAGATCCCCCCCCCCAACACACATATACATAGCTTAAGAAAAGTACCCCATAAAATAGGGGTAAAGTTTTGTTAGCAACGTGATAGATTCTAGACCCCCCCCCAACACACATATACATAGTACAGCTTAAGAAAAGTACCCCATAAAAATAGAGGCAAAATTTTGTTAGCCACGTGATAGATTCTAGACCCCCCCCCCCCCGGGTTTGACGCTAATCAGCCTTGCTTCAAGCCTTCTAGCTCTCAGCCTCGACCCGACCAATTACCATGTCGAGTTAACCAAACTTTGCCATCCCTTACTCTTCGTCTGTAAACAATACACACCAATTTATGATTAGCGGGTTTACAATTTCAAGATGGCGGGCGGAACCGGAAGCAGACAAGCCCACTTTTTGGACGTATAGTGTTCAACGCGGGAAGGCGAAATTCTTTTTTACCCAGAAACTCAACAATAATATTTGTTTTTGATAATGTTGACTTTCAAATTTGTAATGTTTTTTATTTAATAGTAGGCCTATGTTTAACAATTCTAACATTAGTTTTCTCTGTTTGATAGATTGCTGTCCCTTGATAACAAATCCCATCAAACCGATGGTCCGGTAGCCGAACTATGGCTTTGGGTTTACAATTCGTGTGGTTTATCATTAGACAACGCCGTCCCAGTCTCCCTTTATCTAATTGTCCCTGTTTGTTTGTTAAAAAAAAATATAAATTACACACACACACACACATATATTTTATATATATATATGTATATATATATATATATATATATATATATATATATATATATATATATATATATATATATATGTATATATATGTATATATATGTATATATATATGTATATATATGTATATATATATATATATATATATATATATATATATATATATATATATATATATATATATATATATATATATATATATATATGTATATATACTAACGTACTGTGGATATTAGACAACCCTTGCTATTCAAACAATGCTGGAATGTCGGTAGAAAATCGCACACAGAAACATCCGTTGGCACACCCAACACTAAGTTTTTTAGGTTGTTTGGGAGGGTGTGGTCCAGCGCTTCATTACTGACCCCCCCCCCCCCTCCTCACAGAAGTCTCGAGTTCGTTGCGTTGGCACGAATCTGTTACGTCATTAAGTCCAACCAGTTCTAAATGGTCACGGCTCAGACCACACCATCCGTCCATGGTGCAGAACTGAAATCATAAAATATATCCAGTAGGCTACACGCACACTTGTTCATGTTTCGTCACTAGTCCCACTTAAAAGTATCGTTCATTTAAAAAAAGAAATAAAACTGCTCTTTATAACTAACGTAGGCTACATTTAGACGAGTTTCTACAACTATGTACCAAGGGAGATAATCGCTCTTATTTTTTTAATACCCGAAAGGGAGGTAACATTTGTCTAAAAGCATCAAAATCTTATCAACGATAATAATTTTCGAACATAACGCTGCTATTTGACGAAAACAAAGCCAACATGCACTCTCACTCACACATTGAATATAAATGATAATTTTTTAAATTTTGAAATAAATGTGTATATTTATTTCTTTAAAAATGATAGCATTATAAAAAAATATAAACTTCAGGTAAAATCTGATTAATTAATGTGGCAAAATTTCAACAATCCTCACAATAAAAAAAAATACAGATCAAATAAGGAAGTTATTGGAGAAATAACGTTACTAAATTAACAACACAGTTTAACGAGGCAATTCCCCCAGCCTCTACAACACTACTAGCATAATACACAAACAATCAAACAAATGAGGAATAGTGTTTGTAAAGATAGAACAGAGCCGGTAGAACATGTGGCTACACCTGTACAGTGAAGTTGTGGCTACACCTGTACAGTGAAGTTGTGGCTACACCTCCTGTACAGTGGAGTTGTGGCTACACCACCTGTACAGTGGAGTTGTGGCTACACCACCTGTACAGTGGAGTTGTGGCTACACCTCATGTACAGTGGAGTTGTGGCTACACCTCATGTACAGTGGAGTTGTGGCTACACCTCCTGTACAGTGGAGTTGTTGCTACACCTCGACTATACTTAAGCTATAGCTACAGCTGCCTAGCTGTGTTTTCTATTCTTACAAAAACTTTTTCTGTACATTTTTGGCAGTTGCAGGCATCAAAACAAACATCTTTTTATAATTCCCATAACATTTAATGTTTTTTTTTTCTAGCATGGAACATCAACACAAAAATTAAATGCTAGTGCATAAAATAGTAATTTGAAAATAATAACCAAACTGTTTTGATTTTAAAGCATTACTGTGTTTTTAGAAAGTGATTAACTTGAAACATTTTTATCTATACATAACATTATATTAGTTCCAAAAATATGGTGCAGTAATTAATTACGTCACATGATAAAAATACAAACAGTAATTATGGAATGTCAAGGCCGTTGGTTAGTTCAAAGGTTAACTAAGGTAGCAACCTGGCATCTAGGTCACATCTGACTAACAAGTTGGGCCACAGAACTATCAAGTGGGGCCCAAGGACTATCAACTGGATCAAATCCAACAGGCTTTCATACCAACTAATGGGCCCACATGCTAACAAGTGGGGCCCCAGTACTATCACTGATGGGCCCACATGCTAACAAGTGGGGCCCCATTACTATCACTGATGGGCCCACATGCTAACAAGTGGGGCCCCAGGACTATCAACTGGATCAAATCCAACAGGCTTTCATACCAACTAATGGGCCCACATGCTAACAAGTGGGGCCCCATTACTATCACTGATGGGCCCACATGCTAACAAGTGGGGCCCCCAGGACTATCAACTGATGGGCCCACATGCTAACAAGTGGGGCCCCAGGACTATCAACTGGATCAAATCCAACAGGCTTTCATACCAACTAATGGGCCCACATGCTAACAAGTGGGGCCCCATTACTATCACTGATGGGCCCACATGCTAACAAGTGGGGCCCCCAGGACTATCAACTGATGGGCCCACATGCTAACAAGTGGGGCCCCAGGACTATCAACTGGATCAAATCCAACAGGCTTTCATACCAACTAATGGGCCCACATGCTAACAAGTGGGGCCCCATTACTATCACTGAAGGCCCACATGCTAACAAGTGGGGCCCCCAGGACTATCAACTGGATCAAATCCAACAGGCTTTCATACCAACTAATGGGCCCACATGCTAACAAGTGGGGCCCCAGTACTATCAACTAATGGGCCCACATGCTAACAAGCGGGGCCCCAGGACTATCAACTGGATCGAATCCAACAATCAGGCTTTCATATCAACTAATGGGCCCACATGCTAATAAGTGGGGCCCCAGGACTATCAACAAGTGGAGCCCCAGGACTATCAACTGGATCAAATCCAACAGGCTTTCATACCAACTAATGTGCACTCATGCTATAATTCCCACTCACATCACCAACAATTGAGTGAGAGAATTTTAAACAGGAAAGGAGTTCTTAACTAAGTGGACTGGACACACTCAATTCCAGCTCAAGATGAATTTACTTAGTCAAGTCTAAAATCTTGTAACACCTACATTTGGCCACATGGGGGGGGGGGGGGGAGAAAGGTTGAGCAAGGTAAACCTACACCAGAATATGTACATAGATAAACTTTGAAAGACTCATACATGAATAATTAGCAAGAAGTGATCTATAAATAGTTATCACACAAAAAAATTTTAACGTAAATGCTGATGTATTTGTTTAAGCCAAAAAAAAAAAAAGACGTTTTAATTTATGAGCGAATGGCATTCAAATGCTTCTGTCTACTATTTTTATATTTTTGACAGAAGCAAATTTTGGACGTTATTCAAATTTTCTAATTAAGATTTAATAATTAGCATTAAAAAGTAAGTAAAATTCAACATTGTAAACAGTGATCTCTCCACCAATACTAAAATTACGTAACAACAGTAACATTACAACTAAGTACATAAACCGTAACCTAGTTGTAAAATCTTGTTTTCAGCAAGACATTGTCTTAGACAAGCAGTTATCAACTATGAATTAAGAAAAAGTCTCAACAAAATAATGAAACTAAACACGTCTTTACATGATGTGTAGTGACATACAAATACTTAGTAAAATCTCGTTTACAGCAAGACATTGTCTTAGACAAGCAGTTCTGTTATCAACTATGAATTAAGAAAATGTCTCAACAAAATAATGAAACTAAACACATCTTTTTATGATGTGTAGTGACATATGAATACTTTGTTTCAATGCTGTTGGGTAAAGGCAAGTGATGAATCACCCAAACAAAGTGTAGATTATTGATGGTATGCTGATAAGGTTAGATAAGCTTCGGTAGCAGCCAAAATTACGGTAGCAATACCCGCAAACTTGGGTATTAATAAGTAATATATCAATTACCTATGCCACAGAACGATAATGTAGACATGTGATCAATCAAAACCATGCTAATAACAGTATGACTTCAGGCAGAGTCATATGGCAGTATGTAAAATTTGTACAGTTCCAACTATAGGACAAAAGTGTTATCATTTAGAATAAATGAATTAGTATAATGCAATAATACTTTTTTCCAACAACTCTTGTACAATACAGAGGTATTACTGACCATACAGAAAAGATTTTTTTTCTGTGCCAAAAAAAAACAAGAATCAAATAAATTCTTCAAAATATGTCAAAGTTTACAGGTGTAAAACAAATTTTTTTAGGGATTTTTTTGGTAAAGGAAAATTGAAATCTAATGACAAGAATTTCCTTAAACAATAGGACAAAATGTTTATCTGATTTAAATTGTTGAGTAGTTGATATGAATGATTGTACAATTTTTGTGCCCACTGGCTTGTGTAAAACAAAAAAAAATGACTAGAAGACTCAAAGTAATTATGTTTTGTGAGTAGGAAACTGATTAAGTATTAGAATTATTTTAAAAATTGCGAACTTAAAAATTGATATGAAGAAAAAAAAAATGTAATGCAGCTTTAAGATATGTATACTAACCAAATATGTAATTAAAAATATAGTGACAGAATATTTTATTTTTTAGCAAAGCTCCAAAAAAGCTTGGGTACTAAATATGGGTACAGTGTTAGGGTTGTATGGAACGAAGGGGAGTTTTCTTGTGATATGTACCTTAATTGTTAAACAGAAAAAGGTTAAAGGTTAGTGGGAAGGGTAGGGACTCTTCTTGTGGCATGTAGAGCCAGAACAAAGGGACAGATCGGCTAAGTCCTGGCTAAGTTTGGTCAGCAGGTCAGGTGATGCTGTCTTGGCTATGTTGTTGAGTTCATACGGGTCAGCTTTTAAGTCATACACCTCAACAAAGTTCTGGGAAGAAAGAAATAAACTTAACTCATATGCCCAGCTTAATTTAGTTTAATTACATATAATATTCTAAAATTGAGAAAACATTGAAAACTGTAACAAAATTTCAAGAGAGTGGTTTTATAATGTTCTTAATTTTACTGTTTGAAGATCACCTTATTTTACCACTATCTGGTCAAACAGGCATTCTGTCTTAATTGAAAAACAATACTTTCTTAAGTTTACAAAAATAATAAGAATGATATAGGAATAAAGACAAGCAATGGTGGCTGAAACAATAAAAATGTAATAAATCGAAAGCTGATACAAGAAATATTTAATAAATATATGGCCAAAACAATAAAAATGTAAGAAATTGCTAGCTGATACAAGAAAAATGTAATAAATCTATGGCTATTAAATAATAGAAATAAAAATGTAATAAATCTCTTACATCATTGTCCTGTAGAGCACAGTACTTGTAGCTTTCTTGTTGTGTTTCGTAACGTATGCAGCCATACGTATTGTTCCAGGCATCCTCACATACACAGTGATTGTCACAGTTCTACATATATTTGAAAGACAAGAGAGCATCATATTAAGAAAGGTTAATGTTACACTAAGTAACACAATAGCAACAAAAGTTTTATACTTATACTACAAATATGCTTGTATTGTTTGAGATTGAAAAAATTTCTAATATTATCAAAGAGTCGATCAATAATTATTGAAAAAGTAAGGTTACCATACAAATTTAATTAAAAATACATAAAAAAGTGCTGGAGGATGGGGAGTGCTTACAAAAAAATTAAGCTTTGTAAGTAAAAAGTCAGCTAAAAAATCAGCAAATGGTAAGATTCAAACAGCGGCATCAAATGTCAAAGCATCAAACAGATTTATCATAGCTAGTCTTGGTTTGGTCTTACACATATTGGTAGTTAGAGAAGAGTATTAAATTTAAAAACATGTAGAGGAATATTTAATTGATTCCATAAGAACATATAGTTTGTATAAAATACTATAAAGGTAGTCTTCACTGTTGTCGCAAACTAATTTTATAAGAGAAAACGGGTTGAAATCTTCCAAACCTAGCTTCAGTCATGGTTATAATTGTATTATTAATGTACTTTCTTAAGTGGGAATAGCTGATTCATTTAGTTCTATATTTATATGCATTTTTCAGTATTTCTTTGCTTATTTATCATCAATGTCATTCAGACACAAATATAGGATTGGTTACTGTTGAGAGTGTATCACTACTGAAGCAAAGTCTTGTCCTGATCTTGTTGCACCAGTGATGACTAGTGTACCACCACTGGTGAGACTGGGGTGTCACCATTGGTGAGACTGGGGTGTCACCATTAATGCAACTAACACAACACCTTTAGCCACAGTTGCTTGTACTCACAGAAAGACCTTGGTCATTGTATTTAGGACAGTGGTCAACTTTATCCAGCCTTTCACCGTTATACTCCACCAGGACAGTGGCTCTAAAAGGGTGGGTCTGACCTTGAAGTATTGGCTTAAGTGTCATCCCATCAAAGAAGGGCGGCGCTGACAGGTTGGCAATGTCCAGGAAGGTTGGGGCCAGGTCCACACTCATGACACTTTCCTGTTGATGGAATTGTGGGTAAGCAAGGGAGGAAAGCAAGCAGGAACAAAATGTAAAAGATTTTTTTTAGGACAATGTCAAAAAGCAGGGACATCTTTATAAAAGGAAAAAAACAAATGACTGCAATAGAATAATGTTAGTTCTTTATTTCACAAGATAAACTTGTGTAACTGATCTAAGTTGTGCAATTCATGCAGACACTCACAGAGTGTTTGATCAATGAAATTTTGCCTTTATAAATGTGTTGGTTGAAATCACTTTAACACTTTAAACTCCTCAAAGCAAGATAAGTAAGTATTGTATACAATTTACAATCTTAGATATTGGACTCTAAAAGAAAAAAACTCTCTTAGAATTTCTATTCTAACTCTGTAAATCTTCAACACTAGCTTCAAATCAGACCAGCTTTATGTAAGTTATTCTATTTAATTTTGTTCAAATATAATCTACTAAGAATCGTAATGATGATTTTAATGTCCATAAAGTTATATTTTTCAGAAAAAAATAATATTTCTCGTAACTAACTTGAATGAGATAAGTAACTACAATTTTTATATTGTTTTGGCTGTGAAAAGTACATACATTTTAAGAGGTAAAAGCCTATATAAAATATAATTCTGGTTGTTAATTACTTTTACTAAAAAAATAAATATAGTCAACATATACTGATTACAATACATAACCTCCAAATCTAACCTTAATGAAAATAAGGGTAATGGTGAAATTATTTTAATAATATGTTTAGCCAGTTGTAATTTCAAGCACATGAATGTACATCTCAGTTCAAAAGGCAAGTGAGGAAAAACAAAAAAAATGAGGTTTTGTGTTGTAGGTGTAGGGTTCAGGTTACTTGAAAAAGCTGTGTCAGGCAAGCAAAGCAACTTTCAAATGTTTGGGTTGAACCACATTAGACACTCACTGCTAATCCTTGGTTTCTATATCTAGGACAGTGGGGTACTCTATTCAGGTGCTCACCAACATACTCTACCAAAATGGCGTCTCGAAAACTCTCATCACCAAAAGAGAATTGAGCACTAAAAAGACTTGGAGGGCTAAATTTTGTTTCAGAAATAAAACTTCTGGATATAGATGGGCGTGGTGATGTGTTGGAACTAAGGGGAGATGAATGAGTGAGAAGGGAAAGAAAGGACATGCCGTCAAAGTTTTCAACAACAGACTGCGATGAGCCGCTGATGTTTAGGAATGTTGGTGCAAAATCAACGGACATGATTAGATCCTGTAGGAATGAAAATATTCATTTTTAGAACAACTAAATTAGTGCGGTGCTTCTCTAGGTTTAAAATGTGAATATTTTAAAAAATTGTTTTAGTTGAACACTGCTCATACTTGTGAACTAAGGTATTCAGCAGATGTTAGTGGGACAGTATATCTCTGGCTAAATCTATCTATAAATATGTCAGTTGAACACTGCTCATACTTGTGAACTATGACACAACTGTGTTTAGTACATGTTAGTGGGACAACTTCACCCTGACTTTTAAATACCTCAGTCGAACACTGCTCATACTTGTGAACTATGACACAACTGTGTTTAGCAGATGTTAAAGGGGACAACATATCCCTGACTTTTAAATACCTCAGTTGAATGCTGCTCATCATTGAAAACTATGAAACAGCTGTGTTCAGTTTACAACAACAGGAGGTGCTAGTGTGTCAACTTCTTATCCCAGATTTTTAAAATTTTATGAATTGGAATGGAAAGAGCAAAGCCCCATAACTCTGCTTTAAAAGACACATTCAAATAGAGCTTGTTTTATTTAATCTAAACAAGATTTCAACTGTCACAAATTCTTGAAGTATTTTGAATTTAAATTTCCAATTAAGGATTAATGATGTGTAGAAAATATTATAGTAATGATAATTATATTGATACATTTTATTACACCTTGAAAATTAGCTTACTATAAGTGACAATCAACTTCCTCAATTAAATACATCACGTTTGATTTTGGTATAAAACACTTACCTGGCAAGTTGTATTAGCTTTTATACCAGGACCTCGAACCATCAAGGGAACTCGAATATCAAAATCATAAAATTGCCGCTTGTCAAAAGGCAAAGAAAACTGACCTGGAAATTAAAATTTAAAAAAATGTTATTTTAAAACCCTTAAAAATTATTTGTTATAGGCCTAATTAACTATTTGAAAAAGTGCTTGAAAATTGTTTACCTAAATGATAGCCATTATCAGAAGAAAAGAAAATGTAAGTGTTGTCAAGTTCACCAATATCTGTCAGTTTGTTAATCACACCTTCAACCATATCATCCACAGAAAGAAGCGTTCTCCATCTAATACAATAAGGACACATCATATAAAGTTAGGTATTTTAAACTAACAAAGTAGTTAAAAGTACATGCTTGGAAAAAAACCACCAAAAATTTTCTTATAGTATAAATAAAACTCATTGCATATTTATTAAAATATTTTTTATTTTAATTTGTTTATATTTTTTCTTAAAAATTAAGTCAGCTTAGGGAGGGGATGCACCACCCTACCAGACCATGTATTAAAGACAATAAGACACAATCTACCTGTTTCTAAAGAATCCATCAATCATATCAATAGTGTCATTAGGCATTGGTGTCACTGCTTGTTGTATTAGCCAGTGTTTGTCCTGTACAAAATTATATGGTAATTATTGATGGCACATAGCTAAAACTAGTAATTACAAATTTATTCTGAAACGTTTTTAAGTAAAGACAAACAAGTCATTTAAAAAAAGTTAAAACGGGAATAATAGCAAAACAGCTTTAAGCATGAGACAAACAAACAAAAATTGTCCATATATGTTTGACCATAGACAATAGTTTCTTAAAAGTCTAACTTCAGACACAAACGTTTTTTGCAAGTTGTTTAAACTAAAGACAGCAGTTGTTTACTTGAGCATGAATGTTAAATTGTTTATTTCTTGGGGCCTTCTCATTAGTAAAGTTGACCATGTACTGGGGCGCTGACTTGAAAGGTGAGTGACAAGCTGGTGTAGACAGCATCATGAAGAACGGCTGCTTGGAAGTCCTCGTTGTAAGAAACTTTAGCGCCTTATGATGCTACCAGACAAATAATTGTTTACAGTTACAATCTTATCAATAACATTATAATTTGTATATTTAAAAATATATAATTTTAGTTGTATATTGTAGCTTAAAGCCAATTTGCAAAAAGGTAGAAGTGGAATGGTGTGGCTGACAAGTAAAGTGTACAGCTTTTAGTCTGTAATTCAGTTATTAGTCAAAAGTCTATGGTAAGTCCTTCAGTCCATAAGCTCAATGCTAAGGTTACAGAAATAGATCAACTCTACTTCATCTGCTCTGAGGACCAAAAGGTATATTATTCCACAAAAACATCACTTCATTATTGTACAATGTTTTCTTACTATGACATCAGTGAGATAATCCACGGAATAATTGTCTCCATGTTTTTCAGCCTTTCCATCCGCAGAGAGAGTGTAGTTATAATATACTGAGTTTCCAACCTAGGAGCATAATGTATCATCTTGAGTTGTAACAAATATATAAATAACTAAAGCAGGGTTAAGCTGAGTAGGTCACAGCTTGTAAATAACTCTAAAACACAGTTAAAGTTAGATGTTAAGCAACAATTATATTCAAGTGAAAATTCACTGTAATTAATAATTGAAAATATAATAACCAGCGAGAGTTTTAATTAAAGTTTAAGAATAGATTTAAATAGAAATTAAAAGTAATATTTAGTAATACTACTATTTTTAACAGCAAGACTTACAAGGCCATTCCACACATCCCAACCAGGAGGGATATGTTCTACTCCCCCAACTTCAGGTGATCCATACTAAAACAATTGAGAATTGTTAATAAAAGATGCTTATGATTTTTAAGCTGAAAAAATATATTATTTTAACAGAATAATTTTACATTTTTTGTTATTAAGAAAATATTTTTACAAACTAGCCTATGTTTATATATTTTTATTTTACTAAAAAAATTAAATTGAAAAAGTATAATGGCTTAAGAAATAATTATATAAATTAACCTCATTAAGATATTTTCCAGCGAAGAACGTTCTGTATCCATTAGCTTGTAAGAAGGTTGGAAAAGCTTTTTTCTCAGCTGAATTTTGCCAGGCAGTGCTACTGCAGTTGCCACTTAAGCTGTTGTTTGTGGTCATGTGATTATGTAGAAATCGACCAGAGAGAATACTTGATCGGCTAGGACAACAAAGGGGGCTCGTTACAAACTGAAAAGCCATGGAAAAAAAATAAACATTTAAAAAATAAACATGAGTTAATATTTTAGCTTATTATAAAAGCATTTTGGTTGATGTAACTGAGATGATTGAGAATTAAAACAGGCCAACTGTGTTATTTTATTGAGTGGAAATTATTAAACATTCTTCAATTGCATCATTAAATAGTAAAATAAATACTCTACAGTAACGATTTTGATTTTTTTTAATATGGTAGCTTAATCATACTATCTTACCATATTAGTAAATGTCATTCCAACATCTGCTATTAGCTTTTTGGTTTTTGGCATTGGATACTGAAATATTTAAATTTAAGAAATGAAGTATGAATTAAACATATGAAATATTTACTTTTATTTTTTATTCATAAACTCACACAGTGAACTATAATGTGAGACATGACTGTGGAATACGGATAAGTAATGAGACACAATTACAATTAGCAAGACATTTTTGGAAAATCAATGCACAAGTGTTGTGATTTCTTTTATCTTTTCTTGATTGTATTACAATAATGATTTAGTGAGAAAATCTAATAATTAAGTCATCAAATCAATGAGACTCAACAAAAATATGTGGGTGTGGTGGCTTGACTTATTTCAATGACATTGTTTATCTCATTGTTTTGAGTTTATATGTATTTAACTGGATGCAACCGTTGTTTGATGCCACGCTGAGTTCATTCTGCTTGAGATACAAAGGGTTAACTTACAAGTATTTCAAGTCTGCTTCAACAAAGTTCAATAACAACAAGGCCAATGCTAGCCGGAAAAAGATACGCACGCGCAATGGCGAGAAATTACGACTTGCCACCGCGGCGATGTTTTCGATGGTACTGCGCATGCATGTGTTAACAACCGCAGAACCCTAACACCAACCCTAATCCTATCCCTAACTAACCCTAACACTAAACCTAGCCCTAACCTAATCCTATCCCTAACCCTAATTCTAGCCCTAACCCTAGCCATAAGTCACTGCGCATGCGCAGAGCTATCTTTTGCCGACTAGGTGGAGATGTTGGGGAGAAAAATCTTCTTCTGAGTAGTCACTTCGTAACAACAAATACAACAATTATCTTATCAGTAGGCCGTTCGTTTCAACGCTTCCGGGTTTGTCATTTTCGTGGCATCTCACGGCTCATGCGCTTACTAAAAATGGCGACCAGTTTCGCTTTCACTAACCGGTAGAGGGATAAAACTAATAATTACGAGGCCATCGTTAATTTTAGACATCGGAACAATCCGTTTCTATTTCAGTCTGTTATTCAAGAATTCCCAGATGTACTTTTGACCTAATTTCTTTGTTTGTCTCGCAAGCGACGCGTTAGTGAAAATAGCTCTATGAATTCTTGTCTTTTATAATAAAAAAAACTCTTACATATTGCTTCACGGGGCAAACCAGCTTATGTCAGATGTAAACTCTAAAGTATTAATTGTACACACATTACAATTAACTGGTAATAATTTGGTGTGTTAATGAGATATGTGCGTGGGAAAATGATCACCCCCAATAATGCCATTTTATTATAATCTTGTTTAGTGAAAACGAGGCGCGGGAAAATGTGTGCTGCGCGAGAATCCAATCATTTGGCTAGATTTATGACTGTTTTTTTATGTCACACCTAAAAATAGAATGTTTACGCTTTCTTCATTGATGATCGTTTTTATTATGTTTTAAACTGAAAGTATGAATTATTAGTTAGATTGCAGGTTTTTTAACTTGGTATACTTACCATTTATCAATTTTAAAAGCATAGCATCCTGATTGTGTACAAATATACTAATATAGTCATAAAACACAGAACCATTAAGTTATAATTGCGATGTGCCACACCCCCTCAAGAAAACACGTGTTTATTAAGCTGTTTATCTCACTTTACAACAGTAATTAAGATTAATTTTCAAATTTTTATCACTTATTGGGTAAGATTAAGCACATGTTTACTAAAAATAAAAAAAAGACAAAAGCAAATTCTGTTTTAATGAAGGTCACGGGTCAAGTTTTTTTTCCTTCTGTCAAGTTCAGTGGAGGGTGCCACAGACTGACCTGACTTTGGAATTTTTTCAGTAATAATGACTTTACACAGAAAGTTAAAATATGCTAAATTAGCTTAGTTTACTATTGTTCTAGCTATTATTGATACATTTTTAATAAAAAAAATCATTCTGTAATTCTCATCAAAAAGCCTACTTATCAGGAAGATAAAAATCAGAATAAAGGTAGCCTAAAACTTTTGCAGATGTCTTAATAAAGCTAGTCTCATAACGCGAGTTGAATTACCTCCCCTGACCCGCTTTTTTATGGCCACTTTCTAGTTCGTTTTTTTCGATCGTGTCTCGGCACTGTTGCTAAAAATAGCATTCGCGCAATACCATACGGGTAAATCTGTTTGGCGTCTGCTACACGTGATAGATCGTTGAATGGCCAACAAGCTGATATAAAAATTATTGCGACCGGATGCGATTTTCGTGGAAATTGAGCTAGATTTAGCAAAAGACAGCTATATTTGTGTAAAATATTATTATTTATACTTCTACTTACACAGATATTTTGATAACTGCAGTTCAGCCGTCCATTTTTCTTTTAAAATGTATCTTTAGAATTTCTGTACCTTTTGGCAATCGGTCAGGAGCATTTGCGCACTAAACCCACCCCCCTACGGCAGATCCGATTTTTTTCCCAGTGAACTCGTACTGACCTCCCACATAGCTAAGATAGTACATTGATACTGATGGGAAAGCCTCTAAATCTGTATTCCTACTAGAGATCTAGAAATAAATCTAGATCGTGGAGTTTTTATAATGACTTTTAAATTGAATGTCTCCAGTTTAAGATATTTTTTTTCAAAACATAGCTACTTTTAGTACTAGAATCTAGATCTATATTTAAGTATTTCAAACCCTTTTGGTAGTTTTTTCTTAAACTTAGACCTAGATCTAGATCTAGTGATTAGATATCTATATTTTGTACTTATAACTTGCAGGCCTATTAAAATAATAATAAAACACTTTGCTTGATAACTTCATTAGGTCATTTCATAAACACAAATGTTATAAACATATAAAAATCACAAAACCATAGGTAATATCTGAATTCTGTAGCCTACCTTACATTTAGGCTAATACTGAATTAAAAAGAAATTACATTAAGGTTTGAAATTAATACAACTTGTAATTAAGAAAGAAAGCTTCAATTCTAAATACTACAAGATATAATAACAAACAATGAAACAAATTCAAAGCTTTTTTCAACCCATTTAGTCGAAAAGATTTTTATTTTTTCCGATATTGACCAAAATAAGTTTTTAAAGCTTAGGCCCACTGTTTTTAACAAGTGAACTCTACTTCACTTGCCCCATAGACCGTTAGGTTTGAAAGGGAAACTTTACTTTACTACCCACTGTTTTTACAAACATAACTCAATTTTATTAGGCCCCTGTAAACATTAATTAAGATTCCTCTGTAGACAAAGCAATCTATTTGGCAGATGAAGTAGAGTTCATGTTTCTTGACCTCGGCATATGAAGTGATTGTCCGTGTGGTCAGCGATATTCACAGCCGCCTTTACTTTTTACCTTTAATTTCCCCAATGTATATCAGGTACCCATCAGAAATGGGTGGACTCTAATTGAATTTTATTAAACAAACATTTTGATGTAGGCCTAGATCTATAATCTATAACATTCCAAACAACATCTGTTCTGTAGAATTTACCTTTCTGCTTCCAAATGCGGTATTTTCCAATTGAAAATTCATCACAAAACATACAATAAATTATATAAATGGCATTTTATAAATTTATATAAACTATTTACTTTCACCTTGGTGTAAAAAAATGTAGGTATAAGCAAAATGATTTCAATAGTAAGAAAGAATCATGTCTTTTCTTGCTTACTAGCTTTAAAACAAGTGAATTTGACTTTTTACCTGCGTTTTTGGTCGCGTTTCTATATATTTTATTTGCGACACTAAAAAAATTATATTTAATCAACCGATTATGCTAAATTAATAAAATTGGTACTGTTGGATTGCATTTTTAAAGCTCTACAATTATATGCTATTCTTTTTATAATTTGAAGAAAATTGAATTTATATGAGACTAACTACTTAATGTTTAACCCTCTCTCAGGCTACTAATCTGGTGAAAGTAATATGTTAGACAAAAATTAAATGGAACCGGCGGTTTTCTCGCCTATCTCACGTTTTTCTTATAAATTTCTCATTTCGCATTTTATCATTTTACCAATTTTACCCACACCCTGGTCCAGGGCCTGGGCTGGAGATTCATAATCATATCATATGCATAGGATTAAATATTGTATGGTATTTACCTGACCAAAGAGAGCTACGTCTTGGTCATCAGTAAGAATAAAAACAATATTTGGCTGCTTTGCTTTACGTTTCACAGCTAAAGATCCTTCATAACATAGTGCCATTGATAAAAACCCTAAAAGAATCATCATCGTAGCAACATCCTTAGAAGAAGCCATTTTTAATGTTTGATCACATGATGAGTCACATGCTTTAAAAATCTGTGTTTACTCTAAATACCAAATGTTTACAGTTTCGCCTAGAAAAAGCATCCTTAAACTTTATCTGTATAGATCTACATTCACATATATTTGTGTTGTTTTATTATTAAGATAAGAAATAACTAATATCTATGATAATCTTTGGTACGAATCCCCGATTCGAGTCTGTAGTACGACTCTGAGCTCTGATAATGTTAGGTGAAGCTACGTTTATCACAAAACAAAACTTATTAAATGCATTGTTTTTTAGCGCAATTTCCATACTGACAATTGCGATTGTTAATTCGTTATTTCTGTGTGGATGGATGGATGGATGTGTGTCCGCAGCTTTAAGTCGTATCTCCTCCTCAACGAAGCAATATCGAGGACTAGTTCCAAAGCAAGTATGTTAAACAAGTTCCGAGGATGATTGTGGGCCGAAAAAATTCCCGGAATTCCTTCCTGGATTTCCCGGAAAAGCCAAAAAACCTCGAAAAAAATGCAGTTTTTGGTCCATATCTCGGCAACCAGACCACTTAGCGACTTGAAACATTTACCAATCGATTCCTGCCATAATTTAGAACAATATTACCGAAGAAAGTTTTCAAAAATATCCTTTCGTTCGGTCACAAAAAATTAATTAAGGAAATTGCGCTTAAATTGTCACTAGACTTTTTATTAACTTGTTTTTAAAATAATATCAAAGTAGCAGCAGTATTTCTTTCAAACTTTTTCTCGTTACCTACTTTAAAAAACAACAGTTTGAGTGGAGGATAGATCTCGAGGAACCTCTGTTGATTCCAGAGACTCCATCCCCCCCCCCCCCCCGAAATAGAAACTCTTAAAATTTTTGATTAACCCCCTTCCGGGATATATGCGCGCCCTCCACCCTCGAAATAGAAACACCCAAAATATTTTGAGTGCCCCCCCCCCCGTGAGAGCCCCTGATTGTCTTGGCCACTATCGCATACCAAGCCAGTCCGTCATCAAGACAAGTTTCTGTCCCTGACTTTCTCCACCTGGGGCGGGGCTTGCAGGATTGTCTTCAAAAACAGCTGGACCACATGTTCATAATAATGGAGCTTTTAGCCTAAGCGATGCTAAGCAAATATCTTCTTTTTTTTTTTAAAGCCAATCCATCACAGTGATGATTATTTCTTGGAACCCCCCTCCCCTTGCTTCATTTGTTGCATGATCCGTGCATGGAATAGGTAGAAATCTGTGCAAATCGGCGCAATCCGTTTTTAAGTTATGGAATTTAAATATGGTGGACTAACGAGTTTGAAGTGTAACACATAAATAACGTTTCTAAAAAAAAAGCAGACATTGTATAAATAACATGTTCAAATGCATTTTCTGGGCTATAATTTTGCTTTGATAAAAAATTTAGTTTCCAATCCACCATTGTAAAATTGTATATGCAATCACTCACGGAGGGTCTAGACTAGTGTAGAGTGTTAATGTTAAATCTGCACTTTTTTTTCTTGATCCTTATCGCGCAGCTAAAAGATTGCTACTTTGTAGGCGCTATACGCCTCACCCAGAGTTTCTTCCAGGCATCTCTTCGGGGTGGGGGCAGAGCCCCCTCAAAAGAAAGTCTACCCCCCCCCCCCGTACGAAATGGAAAATTTTAGACACCCCCCCCCCCCCACGAAAATTTCGAGTGACCGAAGAGATGCCTGGAAGAAACTCTTATGAAGAACGTTCATCATCCTTTTCCCTTTGTGCCTTAAGACACATGCTGCCGCCTATATTATATTTAAAAAGTTAAATGTTGAATTCTTTCGCACGCAACAGATGCAACAAATCTGCTTCAGTCTTAGCGCAATTTTCAAAATCGAGCATCGGACGATATTTGACCTACATGTTTATGTAAATTTAAGGTAGGCCTGAATATTAAAAGTAGAATAATCTTTTAAAAATAAGAAGAAAAAAAAATCAACAACGGATTAATATTGCCATTTAAAAATAAGCATATATAAAGGCTATATAACTTTAAAAAAGAAAACAACGTTACAAGATTTCTAAAATGTTTTAATTGTCTCAACAATCATAACATAGTTTCAATTCTTGGACGGATATTTTTGTAGTAATGATAATTTGTATTATTCTTCCTTTGGTCTACTAAGCTCTGATTTTAAAACACAATCATCCTGCATTACCCAAGACGACGCACCTATTTCATACCCCTAATTTATATATCTAATTTCACAAATGCACCACCCCATTTATTTTAGTTATTTTATATTCGCCGTCCTTGTATAAGTATTTTAAAAATTCCAATAATCGAGAACACTTGGCGATTACATTGCTAGAGACAACGTTTATAAGCAATAGAGATTCTTGTAGATAAAGATATGGAAAGCAGGTACATAATAATCTGTGATGCAGATTTTTTATAAAATTGTTTTTCAGGATTTTAAGCTAAACGATATAATAGCACATATGATTTATCAAGTTATATTTATTTTGTTTCTCAAGCTTTAAGTCGTTAGTCACAAAATATAATAAAAATAGTTAATTTGAATGCAATAAAATTCAGCTAAGTGATTGAGTGGGTGGATCCACGCTAGAGGCAAGTGTGTTGTTATAGGCAAGTGGCTGTAAGTTTATGTGGACGTGAGTAGTATAGGGTGTATCATCTGCCGCACCATCGCTGATTTCGCACCAGTCTGTTATTGTTCTCATCAAGCAATTCGTGTGCAACACGTCTAGAAATGTTATCTGGGTTTAGGTGTGGTATTCGATTTTTGTATTGTAAACACGACATGGCTACCTGAAACAAGTTTATATATATATATATATATATATATATATATATATATATATATATATATATATATATATATATATATATATATATATATATATATATATATATATATATATATATATATACATATATATATATGTGTGTGTGTGTGTGTATGTGTGTAAACATATACGTTTTACGTATAGGGACATATATATAATGTTTTTAAGTATGTATATTTATATGTATATTTATACCTGTGCAAATGAAACAAAAGCCAATCCTATAAATATATTGCCAGTATATTGTACAGTAAGAACGTTTTCAATAGCGATGACAACGCCTCCTATGTAATGACCGTGAGATGCATCTGCATCGTCACGTGACTTGGCTGCATACAACACAAACAACGCAAGTGCTACTGCACATCTGATTATCAAATCTCCAACAAATGGATTGCTCAAAACGTCTGAGAGCAGTCTGAGTAGGAGCAGAGAGAAATAAATATCACGTAGAAAATTTATTTTTTAAAGGATAAAAGCTTTTATTACTACTCACAAAACCGAAAAAAAAAACAACAACAACAAAAAAAAAAAACAAATCACAAATGAAAAAAATGGCATGACATCAATACTTGAAAATTACAAAACAATGTTGTTTTTTTCCCACCTGTTCAATAAATAACTAATGTCATTAAGTCACTCCATTTGCACATAAGTGTCAATGCGGTGTATTTACTTACATTACAGTGAAAACGAAATACATCGCTAATTAACTTAAGTTATCTGTAGCAATAAAATTTGCATACGCTCAGAACAACACCAGTGCAAAATCCTCTTAATTTAAGAGTGGGGGGGGGGGGGGGGGGATTAGGAGAGAAATAGCAATCAAAAAATAAACTCACCTCGTATAAATGTTAAAACAAGCAAATTTTAATTTTGAGCTAGAAAGTGATATTGCAATGTTATATTTGAAAAAATATTTTATCCAGGTTTTTGTGATAAATGTCTTGATTTACATGTTCAAAAAATAAGATGTTTCTACGGTCAAAGGGAAACAATCGAGTTTTTATTTTTATATATCTTAGATATAGTTATTCTCCATTAAATTTTTACTCATAAATGAGACAACAGCAGATTTACGGTCAAAGGGGGGTAAACATAAAAATTATTTCACTTCGTAGTTCAGTCGAGGTTATGTCGCTTATATATTTAGTATCTATTTTTTTTTAAAGAAGAATGTTTCATTGAATAAATTAAACAATATTACACATACAAAATACTTAGAGGAAACGAGAAGATTAATCTTAAACCTGCTTTATTTAAAACAAAAATATTTGTCCTATACAATTGACTATATGGTTAACTAAATGACACTTTCGTCATTATTTCTTCGTTGTTTTTTTTTTTTTAATTTTAATATAATTTTTTTATTTTGCAACTGCAGCTAGATTGACACTAAAAAGGATGATATTATTTTCAATAAAAATAAAAATATTTACAAAAAATGTCTCTAAATATTTAAGCTGGATAACCTCGACTGAACTACGAAGTAAAATATTTTCATTCTTACCTCCCTTTGACCGTAAATTTTTGTTCTATTGTTTAAAAATAATATTTAGGCCGAATAAAGATATTACTAGCAATATTTAAATCAATTTTTAAATACTTGAAATTTTAAAAATAGAATAGAATCTCGTAAAAAAAAAAGAGAATGTTGCACCAAATGAACAAAAGCAATGCATGCATGCTAGTGCGGACCATTAGTACATAATAAATTCGTATGCGGTTCTTGAGAAATCAGAAAATAGCTTAAAGTACTACCTGAAATTACTCAAAATTTTACAGAACACTGAGAATTAGATCTTTGAATTATGTGTGAAATTTCGTCTATTTATCAGAAACAGTACTCAAGTAATAGCCTTTTGGGGAAAAAAGCAAAATAAGTTCAATTTCCGCTTACCGGAAATCGCTGAAAAGCTTAAACAGAACTAAAAATCTGATTTTATACTTATATATAAAATTTCATCTACCTGGCTGTAACGGTACTCAAGTTATCATGTTCACAGACACACATAAACACATACACACACACACAGACATACGGACAAGATTGCAAAACTATGTTTTTTCCGACTTGAAAGGTATAAAACGTAGCGATTTGTAAAAATCTCAATTTTTTTTGTTGCACGATTACAATACTTTCTCTATACTCTGTATACGAAAAAGTAAAAAAAAAGGAAAGATACAAGATGAAGCTCACCTAAAACCTACATGAACATACGCATGCAGCTCAATTCTGCTTAGACAACAGCGCCACCTACTCTTGTGTGACCTTCCAGTGTGGTGCAGGTCCATGTTCGCTCACGGAATTACCTGCCGCAAATGTGTGAATGTCGGTCGTGAACCTTTAGATAACTGCCACCCATTGGCCAGGGTTGTAGGTTTGATGTGTCCTTATCGAGACAATCACGGTGATAAACGATTAGACTATCGATCCAGTGAACGGACGGGTTGATTGTAATTGGAAACACAATGGCGGTATTGTAATGATCAGCACTTAAGAGGACATTTGGTTTCAAAAATATCTGACGAAAAAAAGTTGTCACACTTAGAGGCAATGCGTAGACGGGTTTCCTCGTGCGGCGGCGGTGGGGGGGGGGGGGAGGGTTCAGATTTAAATCCTTATATATAGATAAAGGTAGGCCTATATATATTTGTTGGCCTCTAATATATATATATATATATATATATATATATATATATATATATATATATATATATATATATACATGTATATAATATATTCATTATCATTAATCCGTGCATCCGCGTTGATACAAGGTTTGATACCACCCGAAATGTATTTACCTTTACTAGATAAAGTATATAAAACATTTTACCGTTGAGATATTCGTGGCATTTACGAAAACTTACAACCTCCCAATCCTTAATTCACTACACATCCACTACGCATACACTACACATCCTCTACACATCCACTACACATCCACTACACATCCACTACACATCCACTACACATCCACTAAAGATCCACTACACATCCACTACACATCCACTACACATCCACTACACATCCACTACACATCCACTACACATCCACTACACATCCCCTACATACACATCTACTACACATCCACTACACATCCATTTACATCTACTACACATCAACTACACATCCCCTACACATCCACAACACATCTACTACACATCCACTACATATCCACTACACATCCACTACGCATCTCCTACACATCCACTAAACATCCACTACACATCCACTACACATCTACTACACATCCACTACACATCCACTACACATCCACTACACATCCACTACACATCCACTACACATCCACTACACATCCACTACACATCCACTACACATCCACTACACATCCACTACACATCCACTACACATCCCCTACATACACATCTACTACACATCCACTACACATCCATATACATCCACTACACATCAACTACACATCCCCTACACATCCACAACACATCTACTACACATCCACTACATATCCACTACACATCCACTACGCATCTCCTACACATCCACTAAACATCCACTACACATCCACTACACATCTACTACACATCTACTACACATCCACTACACATCCACTACACATGCACTACACATCAACTACACATCCCCTACACATCCACAACACATCTACTGCACATCCACTACATATCAACTACACATCCACTACAGATCCACTACGCATCTCCTACACATCCACTAAACATCCACTACACATCCACTACGCATCCACTAAACATCTACTATACATCCACTACACATCCACTACACATCTACTACACATCCACTACACATCCACTACACATCCACTACACATCCATTACACATCCATTACACATCCACTACACATCCATTACACATCCATTACACATCCACTACACATCCACTACACATCCACACACGCTATTCGCAGTCAGGACTTACGACAAGCTGAGTTGTCTCTGACTTCTCTTAAAGGGGAGGGGTGGGCGAGGGAATGGGGGCAAAGCTTGTCTAGCACCCCCCCCCCTTCAACCCCCCCCCCCCCCCCCCACCCAGAAGGAAATATACATGATATAAAAAAAAATACATACTTCAACCAGTTCATTGGAGGTTTAAGTCCCCCCTCCCCCAAACGTTTCATGTCCCCCCCCCCCTCCCCCCACTCTCTGTAAAAAAAAAAATTATGGCTGAAAGAAACACTGCAGGCATTAAGCCCAGGCAAAGGGCGACATGTGCAAATTATTAGTGGTGAACAATGTCCAACGAACACAGACACATTGGCTAAAAATAGACACATAAATGGGCCTAGGTAATAATATAACACATTGCAGTATTTCTTTCATCATTTCATTGCAGTCAGAGTTTCTTTCAAGAAGCAGTGCCCTAAGCCAAACATGATCTTTTATTAGATATGGTCTGATATTGCTCAGTTGATTAAGTTAGTAGATATTGACTGATAAAACAGTACATTGTTACAAGACTTTTCAACTAATACTTACACTTTACAATAAAGACCTACTCATCGGCCTCGAAAAAGTTACTAACATTACTTTTTAAAAACATGTAAACTTGTGACTTCACACTTTCAGTCTGATCCTTCTCACTCTCGTCACAAAATACAGACCTCCTCCCCCCCCCCCCCCCCCCCCCCCCGCCTACTTTGTAGTGTGAAGTTGTTTATTAACGACCAATAAATTGAATACAAACACAGCCGTTTTTAAATAATTAAAATACATTTATTATTTTTCTTTATTTAAAAAAAAGAAAATATTTTCTAAAATAACTTGAAATTTCAATACGTAGTAATTTCAAACATTAAAGAAACATCTCTCAAGATGAACAGCAAGTGTTTAAAAAAATATTTATTAATTCGTTAGAAAATATTTTTGTTTTGTTTAAAGCGATTAACATTTTTAGATTTTTAAATTCCAAGTTTTAAAAATAGGCTTAAGGCCTAACACGGAAGTTAAGTCAATGGTATATTGGGGCGGTCTTTATGAAATGGCAACCAAGACTAGAATCTAAAACTGCTTGTTTATGCGGGTCGTTAAGAAAATGACAATCAACTGATGATAATCCGAATACTTTCACACCATTTTCGTTCACCAACGATCAATTTTTGTGTAAAATGAACCGCCACAAAGCAATGGAAGTGGACTCATCCAATGTCCTCGAAGTTGGTGCTACTTTTTAATTTATTTTTAATTTTCTAGAATCATTGTCATTCACAGTCATTGCATCGAGTAATCAAAGCATAGACTAGACTGAGATTTCTAGTTCTAATCATATTAGATCTAGTCTAGATCTAATAATATTTAATATGGTAAAACGCCATTTTAGTGTATTTTATTCGCCGCTTCACGTTTACCTCCGGTTGAGCGTATTTTATTGTAAACTAATGTATGTAAACACAACCAAATCCAAAACACACAAAAAAGGTAGAAAAACACTAGGATTACTAGATCTAGTAGGTGATAGATATGGATCTATAATAAGAAAAGGTAAAAAAAACGTTGGATGATTATTATAGATACCGGTGTCTGATAATGGAATATTCTTTTAAAAAGGGGTGTTGGATTGTTAGTAGTATTGTAATCTTGACTAATTTTATGGTTAGAAATTAGGGTTAGGGGTATGGTAGGACCAGGGTTGGGGTTAGGGACAGGGTTAGCATTGACATTAGCCAGCCATGTGTGCATTTAGTTAACTATCAGTAACCTAACACCCCTTTTTTAAAGAAGATTCCATTATCGGACACCAGTGTAAATATTCTCCCAAAACATTTATAATTAGCCTCAGCATTACAGTTTCAATTAAATAGCACAGGATCGTCATTGGGAGAAAAATCCATGCACTACAATATGAACATAGGCCTACATGGTGAAGGGTCCACAGTGAGTTCACATTGACTTTAATTAATAATTATTAGCATAGATAGGTCATAGCTTAAGGTCATTGTGAGTTCATATATGTTTATTTATAGTATCACGAGTGCGAGATATTTTTAACAATACAAACTTAACCGACTTGCGTTTATGAGTTTCTCCTTAAATGACATGAACCTATTTTCAAGAGAGAAAAAAAGCTAAATCTAGTGCACATTCAATATTCCAAATTTGGATTTTTCTCAAGATTTGATAAAAAATATTAGCCTAACAAAAATAAAAACAAAAGTTCATAAATAAATAGGCCTAGTGTTTTGCTAACGTTTTTGTGTGTTTTGGTTGTGTTGATAATTAAATACGCTCAACTGGAGGTGAACGTGAAGCGGGGAATAAAATAGGCCCTAAAATATTATAAAATATGATTAAAGTGTGATTCGATTATTATAATAACTTTAAAACGTGATTTTAAGAACGTTATTGTGTTTTCAATAGGCCCTACTATTTATTTTTTGAGTAGGCCTATGACTTTTTAATACTTTTTATGAGTCGATGATGAGTCTATATCTGCGAGTCTATGCGTATGACTTATGAGACCTATCCTCCTCCTATTAACTTTTTCATTGGTTTGTACCTATTCCTAGTTCCCTACACAACATCACAAATAATTAATAAATAACCTTCAAACTCTGTTTACATGATCTACAAATAGTTTGAAGTCTGTAGGCTTGTACATTGCACAGAACATTAGCTTTTTCAATAGTTATTGTGATAGCCTTGGGCCTCATGATGTTCATTTTAAAAGCTTTGGTTCTATTCTCTTTCGCTATCGAGTTTTTATTTTGCTTTTTTTTCTTGTTTGCTTACTAAAGACTTTTGAGACCTTTTAAGGATTTGGGTAAGGAATCAGAGTTAGGGCACATACAGCAAGGCCTATCAATAAATTGGAAATAAATTGTGAAAAAGATATTTGTTCCTTATGATTAGACAGTGTACAAATAGTTTTAAGAAAGTTATTTGTAGTGAACTATGAATAGCTGTAGCCTTAAGCCTAATAAAAATTAAATTGGTAGGCCCTAAATAAGAGTTAAAAACCTAATTACACTAAACTTCCAAATTCTATAACTTTATCTATTTTACTAACTAAGCCTAAGTAAAGGAAAACTTACTATTCCTTACTAATCAACATTAGGGAAAAAGCCAAAGCAACTTGTTTTTAAATTTGGTTAGATCTACTATATTCTAAAATGAATATGTTTAGGCCCTAATTGTATAAATCAATGGTAACCACTGATGAACTAAATTAAAGTAAGTAGGGGTAATTAGGGTTCTAATTATGTTAGAGATTATTTCTTAATCACCTAATTATTTTTTTTTTTGTTTTACATTTTCAGCTCCCCAAAGCTGAAGACTTTATTCTGCTCAAACCTATTAGCAAAGGAGCCTTTGGGTTAGTCGTTTGAATTTTTAAAAAAAGTTACAATTGACTTTTAATTTATCTACATTCAACATTTTACAGCATTTATAAATTTATATTTTACTAGCAAGGTATGGTTGGGCCACAAGAAAACCAACCCTGACAAAATGTATGCTATCAAAGTGATGAAGAAACAAGATCTTATCAATAAAAATCTCATTGAACAAGGTTAGTTCAGTTTTTCTTTAAATGTAATTTAAGCAGGAAATCATTTTTCTTTGATATATTTTTATTAAAGTTTAAAGTTACGCAAAAATATATTTCACTAAATATTTTTTCTGTCTTCTGCCAGTATATTCCACCCATCTACAAGTGTTATTTTTCTATTTGTTTTAGTAACAGCTGAAAGAGATGCCCAAGCCAGGTCCAGAAGCCCGTTTGTAGTTCAACTTTTCTATTCTATTCAGTCTCGTCAAAACATCTTCTTGGTAAAAGTTTTGTATTTTACTCATTTTTAGAGGTTTATGTAAATTGTAAAAATATATTTATTCTTATAAATAACAACATGAAATATTAGTAAATACTGAAAATGTAATATTTCTGTTTACATGAAATAAATATAAACATATTTTTATGTACTTCAAATGATCATGGTTTTACTGGTGTAATTCAAACTTGATGATGAACCAGATAATGGAGTACATGATAGGGGGAGATGTCAAGTCCTTGTTGATCATGTACGGCTACTTCAGTGAGGAGATGGCGTGTATGTATGCTGCTGAAGTGGCCCTAGCGCTGGAGTACTTACATAAACGAGGCATAGTACACAGGTAATTTATGTTCTCTTTAGAACTATTTTCTATCTTTCATTTTGCAGATGGAAACCTGGTTCAGAAGTAGAAGAATGGTGGTAAGTCATGGATAATGGGAGTGTAAATTGAAACTTGTAGGAAGTAGTTAATGGGTTGAGAAAAAGATTTTGGGGCAACATTTCAAACTTGTAGTGAAGTTTAGAAAAAGATTATACTTGAAAGGATTAAGTTTACCATGAATGATTTCGTAACCCTCGGCATACAGATAGTCTCATGAGTTCTGTCCTTGCTTGTTCTATTTTCTCTCCAGAGACCTGAAGCCAGATAACATGTTGATATCAGAGGCTGGCCATATAAAGCTAACAGATTTTGGGCTGTCCAAAGTATCACGAGACTATCGTAAGCATTGAACCTGTTCACTTTTCTTCCTTCCTTTTGTGTTATTTGCTTTAAATTCAAATAAAACTTGCTTGTTTGAAGTGATCTTTTGGTTAGATAAATCTTGTATGTTCTCTTATTGTTAAAGCTGATCTTGTTTATTAGAACTTTTTCTGTAGTTTTCATATCTTTAATTTTGAATGACAATTATTATCATATTGTAAATTGCTGGGTATGGATGAACATGCTGCATGCATAAGCAGTTATTTTTTAAAGTAATTCTCATGCAGGTTAAAAATGTGTAAAGTGAACAAATACTAACGTTATTTAATCATTCCTATTCTGAAAAAAATCATTTAATTTTTTCTTGATAATGTAAATTAAAGCAATTTACTACTTCAGTCCACAATTGAAATGGTAATTTGTAACAGCTATATACAATTTATGCCTAGCTTATACTTTGTACAATATTACTTTAATGAAACACATGGTTGCATACTATCAACTTAACTAATCCACACATACTGTACACACTTATCAATTTGATGATCTGTTATTTGGAGAAAGAAAAAATCTTGGGGATTATAGCTGTGTGCATAAAAACTAATCAAAATTTCATCTTTTTGTTTTTTGGGCTCGCTGAAGAATAAAATGATTAGCTCTGCTTAATCTGGTGGGTTGGCTTAAAATATATAAAGAATGCACGTTAATATGTTTATTTATTGTTTAGGCTGTAGCCCACAGTCTGGAAGTTTCACTCCGTACGCACATCACATGCCACATAATTATGACCTGAGAACACCGGGCCAGATTCTCAGCCTAAAATCATCTCTGGAATTTGTAAGTAACAGTTCTGGTTTATTTTAAACCTGACATTTTTGTTTGCAATCTTTGTTTTCATATCTAAATGGGCTGCTTTTTCTAGGCTAGAGTAAAAAAAGGGTATCATGGTTATGGGAGATTAAATATTTAAAAAAAATTATTTTAATTTAATTTTTGTGCTGACCGTGCTGTTATTTTCAGCATTACATTCTTATTTATCTACTCACCTACAGACTGTCCACAAGTCCCAGCGCAAGTTCTCCCAAGAGAGGGATAAGCCAGACTCTGAGGTTCTCAAGTCCTCCATGACCCCAGCTCCTGGTCGCAGCCCCCTACCCCCTGAACCACGTACACCCCAGGAGAAAGGCCACAGACAGTCAATTATCAGACGTATGCTCACTCCTGCTGGGCTAAAACCATCTCAGCAGGTTTGTAGAGAATTCATCAGTTTACATTATTTCAGCCCCAGAGATATTGGTTTACTATTACACTAGTAGTCAAATGTGTTTCAATGTACTCTATTCTAAACACTATGATCCATCTTGTTTTTAATGTCTAGTATCTTTATTTTGAATTTATGTTTTATTTGATCAGCTTTCTAAGTCAAGTAGATTTTATCAAACTCTGTTGTCAAAACTTTGGTGAATTTTTTAAGAATGTCATAATATTGGAATCTTCTTTAAAATGGAATCTTTCTGTAATACACTATAAACAAATGACCTGCTTCTATCACTAACAGTCTCTAATTCAAGTCCTACCGCAAGCCTTCTCTAATTCAAGTCCTAGCATCTCCTGACTAATTTCTGGCCCTAACACTTAATCTGATTTTACAGCAATATCAACAACCTTACAAGTATTTTTGTTCCATATTCAGACTGCTTATCAGAGGCATAGTCCCAAAACTTTTTTCAGTGGTGGATATTTTGTTGTCTTTATTTACAAAAGCTGTTACAGTGCAAGTTTATCCCCCATTCTTTTCTCTTTCTCACTCTCAATTGGAATTTGCTATCCCATTTGACCTTCTTCATTAACCAAAGCTATTGATCATACTGGTGTGTACCACAGAGCTGATATAAACCTATGTGATCCATAACAGGTGAGCAAGCTGTACAGCAGCTATGGGTCCACACCTCCAGTCCAGAGTTTGACCCCCACCCTACAGGATTCTCTCACCTGGAGGACATCGTCTGCCAGTGAGTCCCACTCCAGACAGGCCTGTAGCTTGTTGCAGCAGTCGATGTCAAGTAGGTCACAGTGGTGATAGACATGGGTAGATGGAGGGGTTGTCTAGCTCGGTCTATGTCAAGTAGGTCACAGTGGTGATAGACATGGGTAGATGGAGGGGTTGTCTAGCTCGGTCTATGTCAAGTAGGTCACAGTGGTGATAGACATGGGTAGATGGAGGGGTTGTCTAGCTCGGTCTATGTCAAGTAGGTCACAGTGGTGATAGACATGGGTAGATGGAGGGGTTGTCTAGCTCGGTCTATGTCAAGTAGGTCACAGTGGTGATAGACATGGGTAGATGGAGGGGTTGTCTAGCTCGGTCTATGTCAAGTAGGTCATGGTGGTGATAGACATGGGTGGATGTAGGGGGTGTCTAGGTCGTCTATGTCAAGTAGGTCATGGTGGTGATAGACATGGGTGGATGGAGGGGTTGTCTAGCTCGGTCTATGTCAAGTAGGTCACGGTGGTGATAGGCATGGGTAGATGGAGGGGTTGTCTAGGTCGGTCTATGTCAAGTAGGTCATGGTGGTGATAGACATGGGTGGATGTAGGGGGTGTCTAGGTCGTCTATGTCAAGTAGGTCATGGTGGTGATAGACATGGGTGGATGTAGGGGGTGTCTAGGTCATCTATGTCAAGTAGGTCATGGTGGTGATAGACATGGGTGGATGTAGGGGGTGTCTAGGTCGTCTATGTCAAGTAGGTCATGGTGGTGATAGACATATGTAGATGGAGGGGTTGTCTAGCTCGGTCTATGTCAAGTAGGTCATGGTGGTGATAGACATGGGTAGATGGAGGGGTTGTCTAGCTCGGTCTATGTCAAGTAGGTCATGGTGGTGATAGACATGGGTGGATGTAGGGGTGCAGTGGTGTTTAGCACGGTCTGTCTAGTAGGTCCCAGTGATGATAGATATGGGTAGATGTAGGGGGTGTCTAGCTCAGTCTATGTCAAGTAGGTCACGGCATTGATAGGCATTGGTAGATGGGGGGGGGGTGTTTAGCCCAATTAAACATTTTGTAAATAATTGGAATTGATTTATTGATTCTTTATTGAGAGTTTAAAAGCTATTGACCTTGTAATTAATATTCTCATACTTCGGCCCTTGAAAAGCTCAGAATAAATTAGAGTTGTGTATGTTCTGGGTTGTTATTAAAAATATTTGCTGCTCTTACTACCTTAATTCGACCCTAACAGTGATGCATGCAGATACAGCTGTATTGGCTTGCCACTGTTTAAATGTGTACCTATAAGCTTCTATAAGTGGTCAGTTTTGTAATACAATGCAGGGATTTTAGGAAAAATATATTATCATTCCCATAAGCAGTGTAATATGAATTCTCCATGTCATCATTAATGGTCAGGAATGTAACCCACCCAGCTTTAAGGGGTTTTAATTTTAGTTTAGGAGTAAAGGTGGCTGGTTAAACTGAGCTTAATCCTCTATAGTCACCATAAGATAAGAAACAAACGGCATGGTTCTGCCTACATCTTTAACAGTTACTTCAGTGAATGTCACTTGCCTGAAATCTTAATCAGTTCCAAAGTCCTTAAGTTTAAAAGCTGTATTTATTAGTCCAATAATCTATTATTGTTTAAAATAAATAGCATAAAACATGCAAGTTTAAAGTTTATGTTTTGACAGGAAATGTTAATAACATAAAGTTTGTATAATATACTTTCAGGTAAAAAAGATTCAGAAATGTTTGTTACACCAGAACACGAGGAAAACATTTCTTCCAACATGGATGTCTCTATGAACAACAGTAGCTGTGAGAACCCTGATCAGTCACACGGGCAGCAAGCAGGGGACAGCATTGGCAGCGCATCAGATATCAGACAGGGCTTAAGTGCTCAGTTCTCCGACACACAGAAACCCATGAGCTGTGATAGTCACGTGATGCCGTTGTTTCAGGTAGAAAGAGAGGAGGATGACACACCCATGCTGCATCGCACCCATGGCTCAGTGTGGAAAAGTTTTGCGGCTAAAAGTCTGCGCTCCATGAGGGACGGTTCCTATGCTGATTCTTCTCATTTAGGTAGCTTTACTTCATCGGTTAAAAATGCGCCCCACTGCAGTTTTCAAACATCAGCGCAAGAAAATGATTTAAATGTTGCCAATCGTTCAACCATAACCAGCATTGTTTCAAGCTTCTCAAATAAAAAGAACCTTAACTCCAGGTTTGAAACACCACAACATTTGAAAACTGGGGATAAGGGTTTTTTCCAGCAAATGTCAAAAAGTCAGAACAGAGAAAATATTCCACCTTCTCTAAGCAGGAAGTTTGCTGAATCTTTACCAGTGGAACCTAACTTTTCTGCTACTTCTTTTGAAATGGAGAGAGGCGTGACAAGTTGTTTAGAGGATTCTTTAAGCGGAATCCATGGCTATGGGAAATCACGACTTTTCTCCATCGCAGCATCAACAGATCTAGAAATCTCTAGCGATTTCTCTGCCCACCTTCACCAGCATGACCCGATTCTAAACAGCACCCGTCTTTCCCTGGACTTCGGAACATCTCACATAAGTCCCTGTCTGGTGCCGGAGCTCAAGGATTTAAGTCAGCTGCCACTCATCAACCCTTTGAAACCCATCACCACCAACTCTATGCCCAGCTTCAATGTTGTACCCAGTAAGAAAAATGAAAAGCTGATTGAGAAACTCCAGGACAACGCTCCTGGCAGTGCCCCGAATGTTAGAAGAAAACTGAGCAGGCCTGGTTTGAGAAGGGTTCTATCAGATACATTTGACAAATGTGTGGAACTCAAGAATGCAAAGGCGAACAAGAATCTTCTCAGTCAGAAAAGTAAATCATACGAATACCACAAAGCCAGCGATAATGACAACTCGTTCACTCGCAAAAGATCGTTCGATGTTGCTTTGTGTGAAAAAATGGCAGCAGATATTCTGGCTGTGGCCCCTGTGAACCCTCCCCATACTGGGATGTCACCTGATCTGAGTAAACTTTGGCTCGATGAGAACGAGCGACCACACAAACAATCAAAAACAGACCGGGAACTGTATTCCTACAATTTGTTTGGCTCTAAGAGCTTAGACAACAACCTGGTTCATGGTGCTAAGGTAGAAGAAAGTAAGAAAAGTTGCTTTAGTGAATTGAGCAGCCGGAATAAGATCCCCCTTCACCCAAAGGTGGCGCTCCTGAGACAGAAGTCACAACCAGGGCACAGTGGTCTGACCACAGAAATAAACTCTTTAGCTATCAGAGACATTGTCGCCGGGCTACAGAGCCAAGAGATGAAGTCCTCTCAGACTGGGGGTCTTGTCCGCAGCGAGATCAGACGAATAAGTGAAGAAAAACCATTTTGTGATAACGATATAAAACAAAGCGAGGGCGCTCTACATCGAGTTACAGCCCTTGATAATTTAGCCGTTGAAAACAATAGTTCCGGGTACTGCTCATCTGCTGAGGCTTGTGATTCTCTCCCGACTCACCAGGATTTTAACCTCGATGCTCGGAAAGTTGAATTTTTTATTTCAACCCCGTCCCCCATGCATTCATCCCCAACACCTGGGAGTGGCGACCTGAAGCCGTTGATAATCAAGAAAGGTATTTCTACCCTAGACACATCCATTGGAACTGACGTCAGTGCTTTGAACTCCACCATAGAATTTGAAAATGGTGGATCAGGCAATGAAGAAAAAGACAGCCCCATGTCTTGTGCTAAGCGTTGCCGGTCCAGATCCAGGAGCTCGTCCTTGTCATCCCTCTCAGATATTGGTGGCCCTGACCCGGTCAATCCAGCTGATGTTCAGTTTTCATACCTTGCCTTGGCTCTCCCTTCTCCCCCGCTCACTCAAACCTCTGTCAGTCCCAAACCTGGCTTTTCACCAGATCACCAATTACTGAAGAGTTCCTTCAAGGGAGATAACACATCAGAGCAGGCCATTAGCAAACAAAAGCTCTCTTTTCCTGTTGCGTTGCCTAGTATAGCTGAAAGCCTTGTGATGCAGGAAGAGGAAGAAGACACAACATTTGTCAGGCCTATGAGTGTAGGAAACGAGGCTAGTATGACCTATTTAAGATAAATTACAAGATATATATTTAATGCACTATTTTACTGCTATATATTTTGAATGTTTTTATTCAATTGAAGATGAATGCCGTATACTATATTTTTTTTTAGCAAAGGCAGTTATCTAACCCTGAGAAAGCTCCAAATAGTGGTGAAAAGAAAAGGTTGATTTCACCTTTTAAAGAACTAAAAAACATGGTATGGATATGTTTTTATTAAAATATATTTAATAAGTAAATTTTAATACTGTTTTTACATAAGCTAAACCGAAATGTTGGTGTTTATTATGAGCAGGTTGGTGTTGGTCAGACACCAAAGCCAGGTTTTAAAGAATCCTTTTTCCGAACGCCCCTCAAGACACCTGGTACTAAGCTTCAAACTCCAATGCAGACACCTGGAGGCAGACTCCTGACACCACTTAGAACACCTAAAAGTGTGCGCAGAGGACCTGAGGTACAGGAAGATGATGGAAGAATTCTGGGAACCCCAGACTACCTCGCCCCGGAGATTTTATTACAACGGCCTCATGGTGAGAATTCCTATCATGTCTCCTTTCATTAAAATGTTTTTTCTTCACAAAGTCAACCAGAATGACATTTTTAAAATTTTGTCCTAAAATCAAGACTTATTACATATTAAAAAATTGAAATCTATTTTTAGGATTTGCTGTAGATTGGTGGGCGTTGGGTGTGTGTTTGTATGAATTCCTGACTGGACTTCCACCATTCAATGACCAGACATCTGAGGCTGTCTTTGAAAACATTTTGAACAGAAGTATCTTATTTTAATTAACCATTTACGTCACTATTATATACTTCACAGTTTAACTTGCATGATTTTCAAATTGAATGGGGTGTAGTATAACATATTTCCGCTTTGTTAAAAAAGCCCTTTTTCACCCCTATAAACATAATTTTTAAAAAAATTAGTGGTTTTTTTTTTTATATATCAGCTTTTTACTTTGCAATAGTTTTGACATAGAGTTTATTTTCCTAGATATAACATGGCCTGTAGGAGAAGAAGCCTTGAGTGAAGAGGCAAAAATGGCTGTTGATAAGCTACTTACAGTAGAAGTTGACAAAAGACCAGCTGCTAAAGGTACGCATGTTCATGTAGACTTTTGGTTAGTACACTTTGTAATGATATATATTAAAATAGTTAGGTTCAGCCCACCTATGTTAGGTTTCAGTGAATGCAACCTTGTTTTTACCTTTATGTTCCTAGAGGTGAAGCTGTTACCTTTCTTCTCTTCGGTTGACTGGAATAACATATTAAACATTGAACCACCATTTGTGCCACAGCCAGATGACAATACTGACACCACATATTTTGAACGTAAGTTTGCCCTAATTTAAAAAAAAATAATTCTAAATAGCTAAAAAAACAGGTAAAACATTTTCACATATTATGTTTAGTTTTAGCGTTTTGTTTAATTGATGTTCACTTTTTTACTTTCTCGTATATATGAGATTTTATTCTATTTTAAAAAAATTAAGTATTTAAAATGGATTAAACATCATGTCTATATACCGAGTTCCCATCCCCTGTTGTTTTATACAAGAATATTTGAGAAAGTTTAGGGGAGATCACTCCTGGTCTATTTAAATTTTAAAATGATTTATAATTGCCAATTTTAAAACTTTGGGGACAAAATTTTTTGGCTGCAATTTAACATTAACAAAATTAAGTAATACAGAGATGAAAGTTATTAACAAGACATTCATAGTGAGGAATTATCGACTGTTTATTAAATGTAAACACTAAAAATATACACTAAAAATATTTGACTCAATTTTTAAGCTTTGAAGAAGGGTGTGACAGAAAGGGGTGAAGGTTACTGGTTGCTAATAAAACAAATTACCCAGCTAATGTCAAAGCTAACCCTATACCTATCCCAAGTTATTTATAACAGCCCTCACCCTAATTTCTGACTCTTAACACTAAACCCGATATTACAATACAACTATCTACCTATATTCCAAAGAGTCTTTTGTCATATTATGGTTGCACTAATGCTCCAGTTTAGGATGCTAAAAATTTATCATTAAAACATTTTTTGTTCATGCAAAATATCTTAATAAATACACTGTACTGTTCCAAAAAAAATTACTGTTTTTATTTTTTTTGAGGTATATTAAACCCATTATTCTGTTATAAAATGTGATATTATTACATAAGTATTATTAAAGCATTGTTCCATAAATTGATATACATTTTCCTTACTGTTCCAGCTAAAAACTCTGTGAGAGGTGTTGTCCTGTCAGCAGTAGACCTATAATGTGTAGCTTCTCCATTTTGCTACCCCATACATCTAGGATTTAGTCTCGTGTTAGCTGCTCAAGATTTATAATTATTAGTTGTACGAGGGAGGTACCAGTTCACTCCCAGCTAGAAAAATAGTTGGTCTTTTTTTTTTATTTCTGGTCACAAATATTTTAATGTAACATTTATCACTAACTTACAATGCAGCTAAAAATGTCTTTCTTAAATCAGATATATAATAACAATTACTTAGTGCTGAACATTTTTGTGATTATAACTTTATTTTTGTATACTCTAATGTGCATAATAATGTAAAATAGCATTTTGTACTTATTTTTAAGGCAAGTTTTAGTTGTTTTTCCGTGTGTGTTCAAAATGGTAGATTACAATAAAGCAAACCTTGTGATCTAATGGTAAGAAATTAACTTTAGGTTGTACATTGTGTGTGCACAATTATTTCTGTCAGTACAATCAACCAATAACTTAAATTAAACCTGTTGTTTGATGTAAATTGATTTTTATATTACTTGATGTTAAGTGGTTTAAGCTGTTGAAAATGTTTAAAAGATTTCAGTTAAAAACAATATTTATTAAAACATTCTTGATAAGTTTACACGTAACTTTTCATAATTCAAAAGGCAGATATTTTTTACAATGTTTTATTTTTATATGTTTGATATTTTTTATACGATTTTAAAATAAATTTTTGATTTTTCTAAGAATTATAAAAATATGAATCAATGATCAACTCAAATTGGTGTGATCCTTGTGGAAGGATATTGTGGTAATTTTCATACATATTCTCATGATCAAATTTCCAAACAACTTGATCTGCAGTAATCTATATATATTTAAAGGCAATGCAACACTTATCAGGGAGGATGTTTTTTTTTTGTACATACTGTTTTTATGAGTTGAGTATTTTAAAACTACGAACAATAAATTAATATTTATTCATGTATAAATGAGCTTTTTGTTTTTTGTTAAAAATTGTATTGTGTTAAAAAAAGTTGCTGAATTTGCCAAAATTAAATGAACCTGCATTACACATGTTTATTATTCTTGGAAGAAAGACATTCCCATCTCCCTATGTGAGTTTCACCCCAAATCCAGGATAGAGTATAACGGTGATGTTGATTACACACCAGTAAGGCTAGAGATAGGACATTTTCTATAAGGAATTAGCCTGTTTTATTGGTTTCCCTTTTTTTTTTGCCCATTTTTACATTCTTGTATACTAAGTATAGTGGAAGTATTGTAATAAAAAAAAAAATTGAGATTTTACAGAAGTTTAAGTAATTAAAAATCATGTCTCTATCCCACTTTGACATCCCCGGTAGTGTTATATAAGAATATTTAGAAAGTTTAGAGGAGATCACTCATGGGGTATTAGTCATTGTGATGGTTAAGTGTGAAAAAAACTTATTTTATACTCTGCACATTTTAGTAATTCTATGGAATGTTTCTCAGTGTTGCCAGTAATATGTGTAAATAGTAGTATTAGAAGTTATTCCCAAAAATGGGGGGGGGGGGGGAGTAATCAACACTAGGGTTAACACAAAGGGAAAAAGACAGGTAATGTCCTGAGAGTTTTCATGTTCAGTACAGGTTACACAATTTTAACAATTAATTAGCTTAGAACTGACAGGGTTGTTATTTAAGTGGTAGCTGCATCTGTCGTGTTCCTGGAAGGGTATCAACTGCCTAGTACACAACTAGATCAGCTGGCTCTTACACTTCTAGATCAGCTGTCTTGTACACAACTAGATCAGCTGGCTTGTACACAACTAGATCACTATCTTGTACACAACTAGATCAGCTGGGTTGTACACAACTAGATCAGCTGGCTTGTACACAACTAGACCAGCTGGTTTGTACACAACTAGATCAGCTGGTTTGTACACAACTAGATTTAAAAAGTTGAGTTGTATAACCTGCATGGTTCCACCAACAAAGGAAAGTGACTTGATTTAACGGTCACAGAAAGTGTAATCCATTAGGTAAAGTGTAATCCATAAGGTAAAGTGTAATCCATTAGGTAAAGTGTAATCCATAAGGTATGCGCATAAAAATTTACATGTAACACTTAATTGCGTTTGAGTAAATCACTTGCAACATTTCAATGAAGAAGAAGTAAGGCAGGTATAGGGCTGAACACAAAATCCTTTTATATCCAGAGTTTAAAGAAACAGGCAAAAAATTAATGGAAAAGTTCTTGAACCAAAAAATATGATCTACATGAATGAAGAGTTTGTTTCTTTGTTATAAATTCCAAACTTCAAACCACTCTTGAGTTTTGCTTACATAAGGCAAAACTGACAAAAAAAAAAACAAAGCATGTTTTTGGAGACAGAATTTATTTATTAATTTAAAAAAAAATGTTCACTTTGGAAGACATGGCAGAAAAGGACACAGAATAATGTCTCAACCAAAGCTAACACACTGCTATGGGCATTTTACACAGACCAGCTAAAGCAGAATTAGGCCCTAATGTCATTGTTATTTACATTTCAAAAATTAAACACGTAAAAAAAAATTCTAAAAAAAAAATATTAAGTATTTGTTAAGAAGAAATTACACAAAAATTATTAACTTAAAAACCAGTTTAAATAGCGTTAACAGTAAAATTTGTGATGTCAATTCTTAAAGTTATTGAAAAAATGGGTGACGTTTCTTAATTCTTTAAGAATTTGTCTAATATAATGCTGAAATGCTAAGAAACAGAAAATCAGTATAGCTTTTAGTTTTAAAATACTTTCAACCTTCACAAGGCAAGGAATTACGATGACAAAAATGTGCAGCTTAATTAAACTTAAAAAAAAATTGCATAGTAATTTTAAATTATATACTTTTGTTAACAGCTACTGATAAGTATGAATTACATTTATTTCAATATAATGTGGAGTTTAATAAGAATTATAAACAGTTGCTGTTGTTCATAGCTAAATACGTATTTATATTATTACTATATGAAATGAGTATTATAAAACATGATGTTTAAGTTAGCGTTGTGTACTCAACTATATATTAAAATTATGATCTGAAGATGAATTTTTCTGGGAATGGGAACAAACCCAAGTCGCAATAATTTAAGTCCCAAGTATTAAAATGAAAATAATGTGCTATATCAGCGGGCTAGTAAATGAAAGAAATACATTTAACCATAATCACAAAAAAATAAGGAAATTACAAGTTAACAAAAACAAAACATTTCTAGTTATTAAGACCAATATTATTTCATTAAGTTTTAAAACAAATCAAACTGGAATATATCATGTAATCTAAACGTAAAATATCATGTACTTCTACAAATCTAAATGTAAGATATCCGGTATTTCCACAAATTACATATTATGTAATTTAAAAAGAAGATCATTTAAAAGTTAATGATCATTTAGAGCACTTAAAAGGCATTTACTGTAATCTGCATAAAATAACTAAAATTAAAAGTGAGGTTTAAACAGCCGAAAGGTAATAAAATGCAAAAGAAAACCATAAATAAAAACTGAAATAAAAATGTATCTTCTTCAGCATAATGAACACATTACAAGTTATTTAAGAATGAGACTAAAGTATGAAGTCAACTAAAAGGCACATTATTTATATTTTCAAAGATTCACTCCTTAGATAAGAAATTCAGTAGAAAAAAAAGCTCAGTAACAAACATGAATTTATAAGTCTCTTCAGCGTTATCCCCGAATGATTTTGAAATATGATTAGAACACATATATACAAGACAAATAAATGGTCATATATTAATGTTCATCACTCCCACTAACACACAATCATTAGATTAAGAACTATCAAAGGTAAAAAAAGGACAAAGTGAAAATTATTTTTAAAAACTCACCCAAATCCATCATTATCAAATATTTTGCTCATTTATTAAAAAATACACAATAGTTTTAGAACTATGGTGTTTTTTTTTCTTTATAATTTGGAGCCCTATATTTATGAATAACCATTTATAACCATTATTAGCAAGCCAGTTATCCAGAAACAAAAAAAAAACACGACAAATTATTCTTTCTGTACATTATTTTGCCATAAAACTTTGTGGCTTCTCCTGATCAGGTATACAGCTCTGTGCCTTTAAACTTCAAGCAAAATAAGATATTGACTTTATAAAGTACTTAGATTAGTATTAGGGAGAAACAAAACATAATATAGATATATTTTGTAAGGTTATATATCTATACAATTATAATTTTTAAACTAAAGCAATAAAATAGCACTGATCTTTTAAATTGATACATATATTATTATATAAATAACTGATTTTGATTAGTCTTTTTACTATGTTTAGTTTTTTTTTTAAATGGTAGACTACGAGTTATTTTATTAGATTACATGTATCAAAGTTGTTTACAATTTTGACTCTTGTATAATCACACTTTGATCATATTTATCATTGGTAATTATTCTTTCATCATCAATACCTCAAAACAGTCACAAAGTTTGTGAGAGATTCAAGATATTATCAAAACTGACTTTTAAAGTATGTAAATGGAAAATGTAAGGAACAAAACAATACTATAATTGCATCCATGACACAACCCTGATTTAATAATACTGAAGGCACACCACTAAGAATAAAATAGAAACAAATTAAAACATTCTTTCAAATTCATTTGCCTATACCACTCACACACACAAATGTCTTAACTTTGAAAAACATAGGAAAAAGAAAATTCCAATCATGCACACAATTAAAACACTAACGCCCTCTATCTCCAGGATAACATAGCCACCAACATCAGCTGCATAAGAGTAGTCAGCAAAACAGACATGTGCAACCCAAAGGCTGAATTTTCAGGATCTTTTACAGCTGATTTTGCACCTTCAGCATCTGGAACAAATAAGAAACATATAAGATGTAATTAGGGTAAATACAATTATAGGATTTAATTAACATTACATTAATCAAAAAAAGAAATATAAAAAAGTAATATGTGTTTCCATTGAATTAATAAAATGTTTATAAGAGGTAAGCTGTAATCTTAAGTATTACTTTTTAAAGTTTCAATAAATAATACTTACTGGATTGAATACAAATAAGTAATTTTAAACATAATTTTAAATTGAGTGAACCAATATACGATTAAAAAACAATTTAAACAAAATGAAGCACTATTTAGTAATAGACACTGTATTAGCAAAATTAAATATTTCATGTTTCCTAACGTTAAACCGTGTGTATATATTTTAGTATATCTACATCTTAATTAATTAACTGAAAACATAATTATCAGCATGCTTTATGACAACAAAAATACTTTGTTTTAAAAAATTAGTAAAGTGTGATTAACATAAAATACAATTGGATAGGAATTTCTAACAATTCATTTTAATGAACTTAATGGTTTAAAATAAAATTGATTTAATAATTGCATACAAAACAATATACATCTACATGCTTTAAAAATAGTTTAAGGTTGAGTTACACATGTATTTCAGCAGATTTTTAACAAAGTTAAATTTTTAATATAGTAATTTAAGATACACGTTCGAATATGTTGAAAGGGTGAATTTAACCATGCAGGGGAACAAGATTTGTATTTTAAAAATGTGATAAATAAGTATGACATGGCTCTCTTTTTGTGTCTTTGCTAAATGTTGTAAAAACAGAGAACAGAAATCTATCACATCTGGACCAAAGCAAACATTTTAATTTGTTACATTTAGCATTTAATATTTTACTTGATGGTCACAATTTTTATTTCTGTATTTGCTGACATAAAATCTCTTTTGCCATTCAATGCGACAAGCCTTTTGCGCAACAAAGTTACATTTAAAGCTGCTATTTCTATCTGTAATTTAAAAGCTGTCATCTTAATGAGGTCTGGTTTTTAAACTCTATTATCAACATGTTTATGTTTTGCATTTATGCTTTACATATTATTCAAACATTTTTATACTCATGAAATTAATTTATAGTGTATGGATTACTTTTTAAAATTCTGTGTAAATGAATGCACAACAAAAAATTTAATATTTAAAGCAAAGAAAATGGTTTAGTGAATATTACAATATATTTAATTAAATATTAAATTAGTTTCATTATTTAGGAGTATTCACAAATATGATTATAAATCTTACATAAATGCAAGCAAGCATATCAATTATTCATTAAAGGTTCAAGACAAAAGGATTTAATTTTTTCTAGTCCATAACAAACATGTGATGTAGGACAGGATTGTTAATTATTAAATATAAATATAAATTTACTACAAACAATACTAATGCCCATTCTTGTGATAATAAAAATACATAATATAGAAATCACCAAAGCAGGAGTTAACATCAAAACAAGCAAATAAATGTTGTGGCACATAGCTGTTTTTTAAAAATATTATTGTTGGAGAAGCTACTTTTAGTTCTTTTCCCAATAAGTGTGTAAAGTTATGATTTTGGATGTTTATAATATTTTTTTCTCGTTAAATGAGAAAATACTTTTTCCCATATATTTCATCAAATATTTGATTAGTGTTGTTTTATGTAACTCTTCAACCACAGAAAGTCATCAAACACAAATATCCTTACAAGTATTTCAACTAGATCTAATGTGTTTATGGTAGGGGTAGGTTAAAGAAAGAGGTTGATATGCTTGAGGTACTAGCTATGACTGGGTGGTTTGGGAAAAACCATTAACTTTACACATTGATTGGTGACCTTAACAATCTGGCACTGAAAGCTGAATAAATCTCCTCTCACCTGACGCATTTTCTTCTTGACTATTTTCTTTCTGCATCATTTTATCTTCATCTATTTCAGCCTTGACTTCCACGTTTTTATTGATTTTTTCACTGTCATTGTCTGTATTATCAACATCTTCTTCACTATCATCACTCTTATCTTGTCCGACAGTAGAGTGAACATTTTCTTTCTGAATATCTTCAGAACTAGAAGAGCTTTGACTAGTACTTTCCTCCGTATTATCTACGAAATTTGTGCCAGCTAAGGTCTCCTTATTTTTAGTATTAATAAATTCCTCCTCAACTTCAATGTCCTTACCTGCATCTTCAGACATGGCTGTTGTCATGTCAGGCTTTGCTGATTCACTGTCATCAATTACTGATGTTTCTGCAACAGCAGAAAATATGTGTTAATTAATCAGTTCAGTCACTTCTTTATTTACATTTTTATTTTGTAAAAAAATGATCTTATTTATTTATGAATAATAAAAATGTTAATTGTTCTATTATAAAATTCAATTAAAAATTATGCAAAACCTTTTTTATGAATAAATCCCCTTATTCTTTATTTATTGTATAAATCCACAATTATCTTTTTTATTGCTTAGATCCAATCTGTTTATTCTGCTTAGAACTGAACCAACTATAAAACTTTGAGTTTCTTATAAAATAGGCCTGATAAAGTTTCTTACCCTGAGAACATTGTGAACGCCATTGGGTAACCATGTCTTCTAAAAGTGATGCTGTTGGATTATTACAATTCTCCTTAAACTGAGTGACACATTTCTCACCAATATTAAGATTACTGCAGAAATAAAATCAATATGAGTTTATTAGCTGAAATTAGCTGCTCAACATTTATCTTGTATTTTATTTGTTCATTTTTACAATCAGTCCTTTAAAAAAAAGAATGAGAAAAAAACCATGAGAAAAGAAAAAAAAATGATTTCCTTTGAGTGATAAATTTTATTTTGCCTCTGTTTGAGAGTGATTTAATAATGTAGTCTCATACAATGGCTGCTTATATTATAGATACCTGCAGTTTTTGTCCATAGCAAGTTTAGTGCACTTCTCTAGACGGTTAGTACATGTATCTGAAAAACACAATTTAAGCTCTAAATAATAAGAACTGTGCATTATTATATAATAAACAATTTGTTTATAATCCCTTTTTAATAATCCCTTTTTTTAAAAAAAAACCGACCTTTAAAACTAGTAATTTTGAAAATGTAAAAATTAATTGAAAATTTTATTCACTATTCTGAAAACAATAGCTGATAATTATAGAATTTTTCACCATTAACATAAAACTTTCAAAAATTATTTAGCTTTAGATTAAATTACGTTATTTTTTGTGTGTTAATTTCCTCATAAGCACTAAATTCTAGAAATGATATAAATACAGCATTCAAAGAAACTTAAGAAAAAATAACTTGTAAATATTTACTTTATGGTATTGCATATGAAACCTAGAAACAATTAGCTTTCACTTAAACCACTGACTTTTAAGTTAGTATTTTGATTTATCAAGTTTTAAAATTTGATTAAAAACATTAGAATTCTAACAGGAAATATAAAAGTTAATTTTGCATTGATTCTAGACAAAGTGAATTAAAAAAATTTCTTTAAAAGATTCATCATTTTAATGAACAAAGCTGATTCATTTATTTATTTGTAGGCTGCTATATTAATAAAAATAAGTTGAAAATGTATAATTTTAACTTACTTAAAGGGGTATCATTTTTTCCTTCAATATTCATTGTAGTTGATTCAAAATATGTATTTTCAGGCATAGCAGGAGTAACTGGAAAAATTGTCATGCACATTCAAATGTAAGGGAAGTAAAGAGAAGAAGAGAAATTCAAGTCACACTTAAAGAATGCATTGTCAACTCATTAATTCATCCATGGTAAAATTTAGACTATAATTATAACATCTTATGGGTATAGTAGATGCACCACTTTTAAAACCAGGGAGTGATTTAAAAAAAAAATGTCTTTTTTATGTTTTTCTATTAAAAGCATTGAACATTTTCATAATTTCATTTTTTTTTTAAAATTAATTTTAAAATGACAAACTTATGGTTTGCCAGCTTTTGAACAAAACATTTAATTATCTGTTTTACAAAATTATAAAATATTTTATATATTCACATTGATTAGAAATACCATTCTGAAATACTGAAAACACTAAAAATGCCTAGGCCGTTAAGTTATTTTAAGTTTTTGAAGATATTTGCACATGATTTCAGCTCACTCAACACATCAAATGCAGAGATTTAATCATAAGCAGATGTAGCAAAGGAAAAAAAAGTTCAAAACCAAAATTTTAAATCGAAAATCAATTATGCAATACAAATTAACAGATTCACTTATTGATTCAAATGTTCAGTATTTTATTTAAAATATTTAATGTCAATAAGGAAGATTGAAAGCACATGGTAAACAGAGGCTTCTATAAATAACCTCTCCACCATCCCCATGTAATTTATTACATACCATTAGCTCCTTAAAATTTTAAATAAATCTTACTAAAATATATACCAAAACCGTAAATTATTTGTAAATGAAAATAGGAATAATAGAAAACTAAAATTATAGAAAATCTAACTAATGGTTAGAACTAGTTTAGTAGTTTGGGCATTTCTTAGAGTTTAACATTCCTTAGATATTGTCTGTTTTGTTATAGAATATTTATTCCTTTCTTAGGGGTTATCTTAAAAAGACATCACACTCGTGGAGGGAGGGGGGGGGGGTCCATAAGTTTGTGATGATGTGTGATAAGGATGAGGGTAGGGGACTGCAGATAGTGTGACATCCCACTATAGCATTTTTTAAAATTGTGTTTGGAACTGAATTTTAGCCATTATTTTGTGTTTAAATCAACTGTTTTAATACATTTTTATAGAAAATTTCATTAACATACTCTGGGTTGACTACGGGGGTGGGGGGGGGGAGGTGTAGGCTGAGATGTGTTGTCATTTTAGAGGGTTGGAATGTGCCACAAAGGGTAGGGGGGGGAGGGGGAGGGGATACAATTGTGTTTGGAACTGAATTTTAGCCATTATTTTGTGTTTAAATCAACTGTTTTAATACAATTTTATAGAAAATTTCATTAACATACTCTGGGTTGACTACGGGGGTGGGGGGGGGGGAGGTGTAGGCTGAGATGTGTTGTCATTTTAGAGGGTTGGAATGTGCCACAAAGGGTAGGGGGGGGGGGGAGGGGAGGGGATAAAAATCGACAAAAATTGTGACATCATTTATGGATGACCCCCTTATCAAAGAAGCAATTTGTAGTTTTTGTTTTCCATTTGTTCATTTATTAATTTTATTAAAATATTTTTAACATAATTTTTTTCATTACATATTGGACTACTGGTCACTATACAAAATATCGCAGTTGTTGAAAAATATAAGATTTGTATTTACCATTGGTTGTTGAGTCATTTTTAGCTGAAAAAAAAAGATTTAACAATGATGATACAGATTTGTTGTTTTGATTTAATAACTAAAGTCCTATTTAAAACATTAAGTTTTTATTTTAAAATAATAATATTATTTGTAACTTTAAAATTATCATAAAAAAATGATACATAGGGGGACAAAACAGTTTTTATCAGAATTTTAATTTAAAGCAAAATATCCTTACGAATGACAATAACTTTGGCTGGGCCACTTATACGTCTCCCGGCAACATTCTCAGCAACACATGTATAGTCTCCAGCAGCATCTAATTCTACGTCAATTAATGAAAGCATTCCTTCACCAGCAATGTTTGCCATTTGGGTCTCGTTGTCTTTGAACCACATAATCTAAAGAAATGCAAAAGTAAGATCAAATAATTTATCAAATTCTATTGTAGTGTATTTTTTTTAATGTGTGAAAATTTAAAAAAAAGTATTATTTGAAATCATTAAATAGACATGTTTGTTTTAGGATGCTGGGATGGCATGGTTGAGTGGTAGAGCATGCAGATCCTTGCTAACTCAAGTTTAGTTCCCAGGCAACTCAGTAGGATGTCCCTGACATTTGGGCAAGTAATGCAGCTGGGCTAGAACCTACCATACTACCCCAAGGTAACAGAAACAGGTGAACTCTACTTCCTCTGGCTTTCAGGCCTTAAAGGGTAGCTTTATTACTTTACTTTTATCTTAGAAAGAGATGTTATTTGAAAGCACTTTAAATTAAATTCTCTAGCTCTGTGCATGATTTTAAAAACTGACTTTTATCATGCAAAATCTCTCTGAAACATCCGGGAACTGGATACAGTGATAATTTTATATTCTAGTATGGCTGTGGTTTGAAATATTGTGTGCACATACTTTAGGTGGAGGATTTCCTTTTGGCGGTATGCACATAAATATATGATTGTCTCCTTGCATCAGAGTGATGACATCTGTTGACAGTTCTGTCTCAAACTTTTCATCTAAAGCTGAAACAAAAATATTAAATTTTTTTGATATATTGCTCACTAAGCAAACCTGAAGAAGGACAGTGGACCCAGAAGCAAGGGTCACAGGGCTAACATAGGCTCAAGTGAGGAGAGCTGCCCAAAAAATATTTTGGTAGAGAGCAGAGTTTCTTCCAGGCTCTGCCCCCCTGAAGAAAGTCTACCGCTCCCCGAACGAGATGGAATTTATATAGTAAACATACACTTTTACTAGTGTCCATCCCCCCGAAAAATGTTGAATGCCCCCCCGCCCACGAAAATATCAAGTGCCCCCCCCCCCCCCCCTGGTAGAGAGATGCAACTGAAGTGCTTTGCTCCTCAGAGGCTCCAAAGGGATTTGCCATAAGTCATTGTTCAATTATTTACAACCTAATTTAGGTCAATTTAAATACTTATTTCAAGCTGACTATACATTTCTGGTGCTTTTAAATTAGAATAAATTGACATATATACTAGCCAGTCTATTATTTCTAGTTAGAATCACACATAACAATACTTACTCCCAAACGTTACCTTAAACCAAACTGTACTTTTAGTTTTTAAACATAGTCTATCAACAAATCAGAATCTAAGTCTAATCTTATACTAAGATGTGTAGCTAATAAAACCCTATTTTAATACTAATGAAAGCTTACACTATATTTGTTTTACAGAATATGTATAGATTTAGGTAACTACACTCACAAGCAAGTTCAACAGATCCTTGCCTAGCATTGTAAGTCATATCAATATGTATAGATTTAGGTAATTACACTTACAAGCAAGTTCAACAGATCCTTCCCTAGCATTGTAAGTCATATCGTCACCATCTTCAGAATACAGAGCTCTACATTGGCAGGTAATTCTTTCTTCATCTCCTAATGTCTCTTCTGTCACTTCTGCTGATCCCTGAACAACAGTGTTCATGTTGCTGTTCTCATCAACTCTTTTTGTTACTTTGGTTGTGATCTGCTCACCACCACACCAAATCTGGATGTCATCTACTCCATAAGCTTCACACAAAAGCTCCAAGGGTTTGCCTTTAATGATATAGCTGATTTCTGGCAATTCCTGAGAAAAATATATTTGTACTTACATAAACCTGTTGATCATAATTTATAAGCACAAAAAGAATTATACAAATAAATTTGATTGTGATTAAATAATCTAACTTAATAATAAACTCAGGAATTTGACATTTTGAAGTGACACAGTCAATAAAGAAACATAGCAAAACCCTTAACAAATCTCTAGACTGAAATATAACCCAACTCTATCTTTAGTCCTTATTCTTTTCCTTTTTTAAATTCTACTCAAGCTCAAATACCAAATTCATCCTCTTAACCAAGCTCTAAAGAGCTGTTTATTTTCAGCTTAATGACAAGATGATAATAATAATGTTGGATACTTAAAATAGATTTTAGATTGTCTATATTTAAAGCACATCAATCACAATTGTTATAATAATATTAATACTAATAGTTTCGCTGTCTGTCTATCTGACAAGAACGCTCTGTCTGACAAGAACGCTCTAGAGAAAACACAAGCAAAATAAAAACATGCACAGTAATTCGAAAAACGAAATATGACGTCGACACATTTAGCGTGTGTGGTGTGTGGGTTGGTTTCAGTGTTTCTTTCAGACTTTTTCCTCCCCGGAGAGGGGTGGGGGTACTTGAAATTTTCGGGGGCGGGGGTAGAATTTTCTGGGAGGGGGCGGACACTGGAAAAAGTATATAATTATATTTCGTTGAATGGGACGGTAGACATGTTTTTTTTTGGGGGTGGGGGGTGGTGGAGGGGTGGGGGGGGTGGTGTGTGTGGGGGGTGGGGGTGGGGGGTGGTGTGTGTGTGGGGGGGGGTGGGGGGTGGTGTGTGGGGGGTGGGTTGGTTTCAGTGCTTCTTTCAGACTTTTTCCTCCCCGGAGAGGGGTGGGGGTACTTGAAATTTTCGGGGGCGGGGGTAGAATTTTCTGGGAGGGGGCGGACACTGGAAAAAGTATATAATTATATTTCGTTGAATGGGACGGTAGACATGTTTTTTTTGGGGGGGGGTGGGGGGTGGGGGGGCGGTGTGTGGAGGGGGTGGTGTGTGGGGGTGAGGGGTGGGGGTGGGGGTGGTGTGTGGTGGGGGTGGGGGTGGTGTGTGGGGTTGAGGGGTTGGGTTGGGGGTGGTGGGGGGTGGGGGTGGGGGTGGTGTGTGGGGGTGGGGGGGTGGGGTGGGGGTGGTGTGTGGGGGGGGGGTGGGTTGGTTTTAGTTTAGAGAAAAGAGACAGCACTATCAGCCTAGCGCCCGTTGTACCCTTCCTCAACGGGCCATTTTTCTCGTGTAGGCAATGTTTTCAGGAAAAATACAAAAAATAGAACTTGTATACAATACCTTAGAAATGAAACTATTTTCTTTAATTACTCCTTTGTTAGGTCTAGTTTCCACAACACGCGATACTTGAGTCGTGATTACTTCAGGATCTTCTAGAAAACAAGATTTTAGGAAATGTTTTAAGCATATAACAGATATCATTTGATCAGATTTACTTCTAATTTTATGTCTGATTTGTGAAATTAACAAAGGGTTGGGTACAAATTTAATTTAAAATTGATAACATGAAATGGCATGTAACTTCTAAGTTTATTAATAATCTTGAAAAATGGAGCTCGAATTATTTGGATCAATTAAAACTAAACATTCCTCTTGACAAACTATTATATTCTAATTTCTAATTTTATGACCTTTAAGTAAAGTAAGGGGAGGTATTTAAAGTTTCCTTTTAAACCTAACGAGCCGGCCCGCGGCATAACATACGCCGCTATTTAGTTGTTTCTAATTTTCAATAATTCATAATTTGTGAATTCGACAGTACCAACGCTGACACTGAAAATATTTCTTTAAAACACTATAAGTAGCTCGTTAAGGACCATAACCCCCGCCCCTTCCTTCCCTCCCCCCCCTCCTCCCCACCCCCCTACGTTTAAAATCGTTGGCTCTGCTTGTAAACATTTAGAGTGAACACAGCTCACTAAAACCATGTAGGGGTGGGGAGGTAGGGAGAGCGTTTGCAGCTTGTTTTCTAACGGCTCGAAGAAGAGAATTATATATATAGATGATCCATATAGCAGGTGAAGTAGAGTTCATCTTTGACCTAAGCATTCAAACTGATAAAAGTGGTGTCTGCCCAGCTGCCTTTACTTCTCTAAGTAATCAGGTGCTGATCTACAGATACAAGCCCAAGGAATGAACTCTGGGCCTCTAGTTTCATTATTGTGTGCTCTACCACTAGGCCATGCAGTTTCCCAGGATAATAAGGGAAGTCTTTTAAATGAGTCTAGGTGGGAGCAATTGAAGGTAGGGATCTTCTCCATGGTGTGTGTTTGAAAGTTCAGGAGAAGTAGGGGGGGGGGAATTATAAGAAAGGATTAATATTTATATTTTTTAGATTTCAATTACGTTTTTTTTTGTTTTGTTGGGGGGAGGGGGGGGGGGGGTGGTTGTGTTCACCCTCCAGCTGGTGAGATGGCTGAAAGAAACTCCACTAGTGACAGTAGCAAATATTTTGAAAAAAATGAATCTAGAAGAAAAAAAATGAATCTAGAAGACTCGTTATGTACCTTTGATTCTGATGAATGCACCACGACTAGATTTTTTCAGCTGCCCTTCAAGAACATCCACCACACATGTGTAGATGCCGACATCCTCGTCAGAAAAGTCTTTAATGTTTAAGTTACCCATTTCAAGCTCATACTTTCCTTGGGTAGCTGTGATGTTCTTTCCATCTTTTTGCCAATGTGTCTATAAAATAACAAACACCAGAAAATGCTAGTTGCCCGATGTACAGCATTCCATATTACCTTATTAAAGGGGATACTGTACATGTGTATGGAGATTTTGAAGTTACTTTCATAAGCACAAAAGAGGACAGATATTCTCTCTCAACTATGGTTATTCATTTACCATGGGCAATCTCAAATATAAATATAAATAAATAAATAAATAAATAAATGAATAAATGAATGAATGAATGAATGAATGAATGAATGAATGAATGAATGAATATATATATATATATATATATATATATATATATATATATATATATATATATATATATATATATATATATATATATATACACACATATACATATATATATGTGTGTGTGTGTGTATGTGTGTGTGTATATATATGAAAGTTATAGCTACCTCAGGTCCTGGAAATGCACGAGGAGGTTTGCATGATAACATAACATCTTGACCCTCGTCTACTTCTCTGTCCATTGGCTCTTCAAGGAATTTATTTTCTAAAACTGAAGATTCATAAATTAAACTTAATGATTTATCAGATGAAAATTAAATGACGCTGTTTTATATATTATGGTTTTTCATTTGCATGAATATATATTTTTTTGTATCAAAAGTTTAAACATGTTTTATAATCTTAGCATTGCCAAGACTCATAAAGAAATATTTTTAATGTTCAGCTTAGTTAACCAATAACTGTTAGATTTCTGGTTCTAGATCTATGGTTGTATTTAAAATGCACTTTTAAGAAGTTGAACCCTCCCCTCCTGATTTCTCTACATTACCAGGTTTACCAGGTTTATTTGGAGACTTTTTATAAGATTAATTGAGTAATTATCTTACATGCTATATAAACCTTAGCCTCAGTTCCAAGCTCTTTTTGTTGATTTCTATAAATCTCACACTGGCATATATAGGGTTGGTTATTTTCCATATTGTATTTTTGTACCTATAGAATAAAAATTTAAGAAGCATGTTTTATTAAAAGAAAATTTAAAAAACAAATACAAATAAGCATGAAATATAAGGTTCCACTGTTATAATTTGATATTAGTAACAAGGATAATTTTCATGCTAGTTCTTACATCAAAATTGAATTGTAGGCAAACATATAAGTTTTGAAGAAGAGTAATAAACTGATTGATTGCTACCAACTGACCCCAATCATTACTCTATTCTAATCATCAAAATTAATATTAAGAAATATTACTTAAAACAAATCTAAAGTAGTCACTCATCAATGCTACCACACTTATTTTTAGCTCACTCCCATAAAATCTAAAAAAAACCAAAGCTCTTAAAATATTGATAAAATCTTAAAACTTAAGAAAAGCAAACAAAAGAAGCCAAATATCATATATTCTGAAGCCGCCCCTGTAGGATAACATCACAAAAATCTAAACACTTGGTGTTTGATGCCTTCTTGGGTGACCACGTAATGGAGATACCTCTTTTGACCTTTGACCTTGCCAGTCAACAGGGTAGGTGAGGGGGACAGTGAGGTCAGTTCTATGCCCGGCCACCTTTACTTTCCCTAACATAAATTAGGTACCCATCTGAGTTGGATGGACTCTGAGATGTTCTAAAGACTCGAGCCCAAGATCTGAACACGAATCTTCTGGATTGGTACTCCTGTGGCCCATAATGTATTTGATTAAAATAAAATGTTATATATATTTCGAGTAGACAAGCAGCGTGGTCGAGTCGGTAAAGCTCATGGTTGCCAAACCGAAAAGTCTCGAGTTCGAACCCTCGGGCAGATGAGGCTCGTTAGCTGGGGACAGCCACTCTTCTAGGAGAGACAACTCCAAAATTAAACAACTGCTGCCTTGTAGATTGTTCTTGGTTGGACAAAGGCTATGGAAGCAAATCCAAAAAGAAAAGCATGCTGAAATCGGAGTCAATGGCCTCAATGGCGCATAACCAGTTGACATGTAACGCTTAATTGTGTTGGAGGCGTGGTCGAGTCGGCAAAAAGCTCATGGTTGATACATTCGAACAGTCTTGAGTTCAAACCCACTGGCAGATAAATCTCGATCCCCTTCAACACTAATAATTAAGAACGAAGAAGAAGAAGAAGAGAAGATTAAAATAAAATGTTATATATATTTCGAGTAGACAAGCAGCAAGACATATGTAAATATTGATTTTAGATATCACAGTAATAGTTTCAAAGGGACGCCTCAAACGTTAGAGGCTTCTGAATGCTTACTTATTTTAGCTATAACTATAAGAAGTTATAACTTGGGTCCGCTGGTTAAGTCAAAATTAAGGATGAGTCACTAACATAAACCATCTTAGTTTTATGGATGTAAAAACAGATTTACCTCCTCCTTGGTGACTTCAAGCTCAAACAGCTTATAAGAAGTGTTTTCAATAGTAATAGATGAACCAATGCCTTTATAAGTTTGTGAATTGCACTGTTTTGGAAAATGGTAATAAAAAACAGTTTAAAATTAGTCTTGTATAGATTAAACACAAAGAAAACAGGCTTAACTATTATGTTGCTATTTTCTGGTTACAATTTATTATTACTATTATTGTAGAAGACCAAGGCAAATGAAGTCAATTTACTATGGAGTTTAAAAGCACGGTAAAAAAAAAGATGTAACTTTAAAATACTAAAAATAAAGAAAGGAAACAATTATGTTTACCACAAAGTTGATATTCTGTGCCTCATCATCATAACACCCTAGTCTAATGGAGTCACCAGTTAGGTAGTACTCTTCCTCAAGATCACCTTTTATTATTGATGAATCTATTCTAAAATTTTAGATTCATAAATTGAAAATCAGATTGTAAATGCATTTTTTTTACTCAAATTAGCTACGATTTACTCATATAGCAATAAAATGTTGTTTTTTAAAAAATTGTTTAATAACTAAAATGAAAACCAAAAAGAAGAGGGACAGTGCATTATTTCTGTGATATTTGACCACATTTTCAATGTACCCAAATAAAACATAAAATTATAAGCAGAACTTTATTAATAACTTCATTTCCCCACCAGCATTTCATTAGCTTGAGCTGATTGTTAATGTAAGTTTCTTTATTTATTTTCTAATGTGGGTAAATAATTTTTATATTTTTGTGATAATTATAATGAAGATTTTAAAAATGTTATGTCAAAAATTAACAAACTATTTCTTGTTTATCTGATGTTTTTTTTTAAACAATTTTTTGTGTGTGGTCATAATCTGTCCTCTTCCATGACCACCCCACCTTCTTTGGCCTGTCCAACTTCTCACTACTCCCATACTACATCTTACCAATATGATGCTTTATACATTTTGTGTTACATTAATCTACAATTTCTACCCACAGTATTAAGTATTAAAAACTATGTCAAAACATGAACAATATCATGTTTTAATGATTGAAACTTTTTTTAAATTATTCTAGACATGTTTTCTTTTTTTTTTTTTTTTTTTTTTGTTAAGGGGTAAAATTGCCCCATTTCTTATCATTCTCCCCTACAAATTTTAACAGTGGCGTTCATATTTTTTATTTGAATTGCTCATTACAGACAATAAATTATAAAACTATGCTTAGCCTACACTTTAAACGACAACATATTTCTATACATTTACTAAAAAAAAACAAGTATACTTACTCAGTAGTCATATCTGGGTCTATTGTTGTTCCCCCTGTTTTTATTACAAAATTTAAAATATTAAAAATGCTATTTATATAAAAAAAAAACAGCATTATTTCATATAAATATTGGTAGTTACTGTAACATTTTTCATTTAATGAAGTCGAATATTATCTTTTAATAGATTACTTTGCAGATATAAACCTATTCCTAAATTATATCTACCCTAATTTTAAAAGTCTCAGTAAGGTTTTTGGTCTCAAATAATCAGGACATCCCTGAACACACTGAGCTCTGGTGTGTACCTGACTGAAGTTGTGGAAAATAAGGTTGCTAATTATAGTACTGATCACACCTCCCCCTTCCCCATATGCTGCAATCAAAGATACTGAAAATGGTTTTTATGACTTTGTCTTAGGACACTCAAGTTTCAATTTTAATCTTAACACTAGCATCTATCATATTTCTGAAGTTAATACTTTCATCACTGTAAAATTTTGTTTTTCTAATAAAAACTAACTTTCACAGCTACATAAATAGAGTGGATAGCCACTGTGGTGGAGCAGAAAGTTATAGAAATGTAGAAAAAAAAAGTAAAATTTCAAACTATTTTTTTTAACCTAATGTTTTCGTCGTTTAAATTTTTAACTGTATTAAATACCTCTGATAGAGATTGCAGCTGGTTGAGAATTTCTTGTAACATATCCATTGTAAGCAACACATTCATATACTCCTGCATTTGAGGACTGAACTTGCTCAATAACTAGAGATCCAGTTTTTATTGAATAGTCAGTGTCTCTCTTTTCATCAATTCGAACTCCATCTTTTAGCCAGTATATCTATATAAAAAACAAAAAAACCTTTGAATGAATTGTTGAATTTAAAAAAAAAAATTAGAACTTTAACATGAAAGTAATCTCTAATTTATTAATTTAATTTTAAAATCCATTACTTATGTATTTCACATAATTAAATAACAACCAATGGGAGTTGACTGAAAATTGCTTTGTAAGACATTTGATAAGCATTGGTATTTAACTAAACATTTTTTGTATCTAACATAAGTATAAATTATTTTATTAGAGCTCTTTATCTCAAAAGTTCACTCTTGCTGAATAGTTTTTTTAAAACTTTTTAAAATCAGGATTTGATAAGCATTGGTATTTAACTAAACATTTATTACATCTAACGTAAGTATAAATTACTTTATTAGAGCTCTTTATCTCAAAAGTTCACTCTTGCTGGATAGTTTAATTAAAACTTTTTTAAATCAGGAAAGATAATTTATAGAATGGAGTATTCTTAATATTTATAAGTGCAAATCCGACAAGTAGATGTTTGCATTGTAGTCAAATGAATTAGAAACTTTTTTAAAACAAATGAAATAAAAAAATAAATTATAACAGTTTAAAAGTTAAACGTGGTTGTAGCCAAATAAATTAGAAGTTTATTTAAAAAAAAAACAACAAATAAAATGAAAAATATTAAATTATTAAAAAAACTGAACCTCAGGCTGAGGCCTGCCCTCTGGTGGAATGCACATTAATGTTACTTTATCATTTTCTTCAACTGTTTGGCTCATAGGATCCTTCTTAAAAGCTGAATCAATGGCTGAAAAGAATATATTTATGACAGATATAAAAAAACAATATGGAAATGTGTTCTTACAAACTGGTGATGGCTTCACAAAAAAACGACAATCTAAGATATTGATTTGAATTGTGAAAACCAAGGAGCAGCCTAAAATATGAAGTTAATATATATATATATATATATATATATATATATATATATATATATATATATATATATATATATATATATATATATATATATGTACATATATTTTAAATATTTTTGAATTCTGTTTATAATGCAAATTGGGCAAAATGTATCGCTGGAATTTACACTGAACCTAGCATACCCACAAAATAAATAAACTCTACTTTTTTCCTCTTTATTTTTCATTAATAGAGATATCTAGAGAGGTTTAATCATGATTCTAAAATTATAGATTTCAAAACTGATTTCTGTTCATATTTTAATGAAACAACCAAATTGTTAGATTGCTTTAAATTTAAATAAGCTACTTACTTGATATATAGACATAGCCAGGTTTGCTGGTATAAGTAACATATGTTTTGTTTTCATACTTGAGGGCTTCGCAGACACAGAAAAAGTTGTCTCTGTCTTGTGCCACTAAATCAGCGCTCAACATTATTGTCAAAGTTGCCTCAACTATTGTAGGAAACAGAGGTAGGAAACTATATCAGTTTTTTTATTCACATAATTATAGCAGAAAACAGAGGTAGGAAACTATATCAGTTTTTTATTCACATACTATAGCAGAAAACAGAGAGGAAACTCAATTTTTGTTATTCACATAACTTTAGCAGAAAACAGGTAAGAAAATATAAAAAAACTTTTGTTCACATTAAAAAAACACACTTGTAATAGTTCTAAGAATGTTAAATGGCTGGAATAACACTTAAAAAAAATGTATTCATTTCATAGAGTACTCAGTTAGTGTTAACTAATTTGTTAGTTTCAGCTTCTTTTACATAACAAACATGGAGAAAAAAGAAATTTAAACAAAAACCAGCTACTGTAATTATGTACCTGGTGTAATGAGGGCATTTGTTTTTAAATCGTATTGGGTGTCACTGAGCCTTTCACCAGCACATTTAGCATGAACGTTATTTGTGTGGTGAAAAACACAGGTCAAGTTGACCTTTTGATCCTCAGCAATATATGTAACTTCTGGGAGTGGTGTGACAAGCAGATCATCAATAGTCCAGACTTCAGGGAGAACTAAATTCATGAAAATTTTAAATACAATTGTATACGAGTCTATTCTAAAAATGATGCATTGAATAGAATACATTTATTATTAAAGCATGCTCAACAAAATAATGGAGAAAGCTGGAGGACAATTTGATTTTAAACTGCTTATATAAAAACCATGTTACTTGTATAAACTAACCTATTAACTTGGCAGTTCTACTCCTGTATTCACCATAAAGATTACTTGCTACACAATAATACTCTCCTGCATCTGAGTCTGAAACATCTTTAATCCATAAATCAGCCATACTTTGCTTAGTTGTCACATCTACCAGTTGACCATCCTTATACCAGTTTATCTTGATAAAAAAAAATTATAAATCGTTAATGGAAAAAATTGCAAAAATTTATTCTCGGTAGTTTTGTTACAAATGTTCTTACAAAAAATTACACCCATCAAATTCTGGGCACCCAGAAGCAAATATAAAGCTACATATGATGGCATATATAATATTTATAAATGTGTGATGGTATCTGTGTGTGTGTGGGGGGGGGGTCATGCATAAATGATGCCAAACTCAGAGGGGGTTCAGAATTTTGTGAAGGTATATGACGAGGGGGAAGGGGCGGGGTCGAGACAGTGTGAAGTCACACTGTTTTAATATTATCCTATTTTTTACATACATTTTAACAGCTTTTATTTTTATAAAAAAGTTTCAGTTGTCGAAAAACATGGGCTTTAAAAAAACATGACCATAGAAATTGGCTTACTACAGGCTTTGGCCTTCCATCTGTGTGTTCGCATTGAAGCTTCACTGTAGTTTTCACATCGACTGTTGTGTCAGACGGCTCAACTGTAAATCTTGGCCCCAAACCTTTAAACACATTTCAAATAGATACAAACATTTGCCAGATGGCTCAACAGTAAATCTTGGCCCCAAACCTATAAACACATTTTAAATAGATAAAAAAAATGTGTTTAAAAAAATCGAAAAAAAAAATCAGACAAAACTTTTACTACTGCTAGCTCTACTGCGATAACAAACACTTGAAGCCTCGCACTAGCAACCTCTGAAAGGCAGTTTTAACTACACAATATCTATACACTAACTGCCAATACTTATATAACTGAGTAAAATAATTATACACTTACTGCCAATAGTTATTAAACTTTCAGCTTCTGCATTTAATGGCACACCACTAACTGGATTCATTAGAACGCATGTGCAGTTATATTGTACGCCTGGATTTTTTGCCAGGTAGTCTGAAACTTTGGTATAGCTTATGTTCAGCATTGCCTATAAAAATGATACAAACTCTCATTTAAAATGTACATACTAAATTAGAACTATATTAAAAAAAAAAGAAACAAACAGATATTTATAAAGAAAGAAATGTGTTTTTGCAGATCGAGATTTATTCTGGGGGTGGGAGGGTTGGGTTGGAGAGATGGGTAGGCTAAATATAAATAAATATATATTGGGGGTAAAGTATTTATATCCATCCCACTTTATACAAATATAGGTGTGTATTATTAATCAGAACATTGTTTATACAAATTACAAATATGCAAAAGATCTGTTTATTTTTGACGTATATTTTTCCTAATTGTAAAAAATATGGGGTGGAGATTGAGGAAAAAATTAATTATTTAATAAGATTATTAGTTATTGTGATAGAGTAGAACATTGCTTAATCATAGCATAGCTATAAGTATATGTATGGTAGTTGTAATCACATACAACTGTAGAGTAAAGTAGATGTTGAGGGTTCTAATAGGCCTAAACTTTCCACTGTAGCAGAAGATCTCTACTTCATCCACTAATCACCTCTCAAATATATTGAGATAAGAAATATAAAAATATATACTGCGTTACATTTAAACCTTAATTAAAAAAAAATAATCGTAGGTCACTCGACTTTACACTAACCCAATAAACTCAAAGAACACAAAAGTACCTTTAATTCCTTTTTATTGTCTAAAACTATTCCCTGTTGTTGAGTATATTCATGTTTCTCAAGTTTCTTTCCATTGCAACTAAATGTACAAAATATAATATTTTATTAAAATAAATGAAGTTTTTTAACATATATATTTTATAGAAATAATCTTTAAGATCTTTTGTATCTTTTCAGTGGTAAGCCTCACTTAACAGAGCAAACCAGGACATAATATATTTTCCAGTATATTTTCCCAATAGGCTCTAGTTCAAATCTAAGGTCCATCTGAACTGTATCTTTAAGGTAATTGATGTGATGCTTATCTACGATATATGATCTTGAACATAGTTTCATGACATCATATTTTTCCATTTGTGCTCGAGACACATATATGGTAGATGAAGTAGAATTAATCTATTTCAATAACCTCTGCATACAGGGAGATAATGCAGTCAGCACTATGCTCAGCCACTTTGATTTCCCCAATGTGAATCAGGTACCCATTAGAGCTGCCTGGACTCAGGGATGTCCGACACACACTTAGATATGAACTCCAGATTTTTGGGTTAGCCGTGGTGAGCTCCACCTTCCAATCTCCACTGCGCATACTACGCTTACTTGTAGGAATTTATTTTTTGAACAGTAAAGAAATTAAATCAGCGCTTACAAAATTTGAAGAACAGCAGTGATGCCGGTACAATGATAGTACGCGTCTTGGTCCCGGGACACAAAGTATTCTGCTTTGGGTGTGTTTGTAAAATAAGGCTTCAACTCTGAAATGTCATAAAATAATTATTTCTCAGTGAAATACAAAAAAGACCCATGTTTAACTTTTTAATTAGCATTAATTTATCTAGCAAGTTAAATCAGTTAATAGTTCACTACCAGTAAACAAGCAGAATTAAGTAAAGTACTTTTTTTTAGCCTGATTGTCAATGGGGCAGCTGAAGTAGAGATCAGCATATGACGGGGTAATGTGGTCAGCTATATGCCCAGCTGCCTTTACTTTCCCTAATGTGAGTCAGGTTCCCATCAGAGCTGGGTGGACTCAGGGACATAGCACTGACATGAACCCGGGTTTCAAACTTGAGACTTTTAGGTTAGCAGTTGTTTGCTCTACCATCTAACCATGCCCTAAACTAACAGGCCTCTTTAAAAAATCATTGCCTTATTTCAGCATTATCAGACACAGTGGTGGTGGCAGGAGAGTTGTTAAGGGGACATAAACCCTCATGACCACCCCCCCCCCCCCACCCCCCAAATTCAAGCTGTATATCACTAGTGCTGCTTCATGTCAACTATTTTAAAATTTTGAGTAACGTATAAACAACAATTTTAAGCTCTTAAAAATTGTTATGGAATATCTCTATCCAAACACACACTCGCAACCACTCACACATGCACACCCACACTTTGTGATCAGACACTGGTATAAAACATACACCAGTAATCCAAATAGCCTTGCAATCCATTAAAGATGTGGGCTTTATCAGCTTTAGACCACACTAACAATTACCTGTAATTATTAGCTTAGCCCTTTGGCTTTTGACTATTTGGTTTGATAGGATCACTTTACAGCTATACTGCCCTATATCATTACGTGTGGCCCCTGTGATGCTCAGAGAGCCATTCTCGTCTATAGTAAGTCTAGGATTGACGGCAGTCAGAAGCTCTATTTCATTTTTCAGCCATGAAATCTGAAAATGATTTTTGTAGTAAAATGTTTACAAATATACTTTTTATTAAAAATTATCAAAATTTCCTGTTCAGATCTAAATCTATTTGCAAAACTATTGCTTGATTATATCT